TCAATAGTAGTTATAGAATTTTTCTGGATTATAGTTTTAATTATTAGATCCGGTTTTTGAAGAAACGAGCTTTCAATCTTTGCGTGCATTGAAAGATTTTAAGGTGAAACCTTCCAAAACTTAACTGTTTCATCGCCCTTAATCCATGCATCAATATAAAATACGCATCTATTTATTTATTATTTTTGTATGGTAGTCCCAATCATGGACAAAGTATTAATATTCAAATATTTGAAGCACTACATGCTTTTATCGCAGCAACCAGACGTTTTATTTGACACTGTCATGTATGTTACTTATGCCAACACTTTCTAACCGGTACTACATTGTAATTTTTTTTTTCTCTTTCTACTCTTTTTTTTTCTCTTGTTTCTTTGTTACTATGTTTGTCTATTTATTTTCATACCTATATATTGTGTGTTCATCTTGACCTTGTAGGGAGAGGGCTAAAATAGGCTTTGCCTGCTGCCCAATCCCATTCACTTACGTGAATAAAATTTTGTATAAATAAAAATACGCATCGATTATCAAAGCACAGGAGTTCGAGAACCTATAATTTTTACCAAATTTTTTTAGTAAATAATAAAAAATGTTATGCCTATGATAATATATTTTATTGAAATTCTTTGTAACGTTGATAATTATGTACGCGAACTCCCGTGATTAAAGCAACATTTTATATATTCAACACTAATGCTGTATACAATTTTATGTATTCATATAACATATCTTATAAATATCAGGCAGGTTTCTTACCAGGTCATTCCACAGTATATCAACTTTTAGAAACATACCATTCTATAGTAAAAAGTATTGACGAAGGTAAGTTCTGTTGTATGGTGTTTTGTGATTTATCGAAAGCATTTGATAGAGTTTGGCAGAAAGGCTTAATTTACAAACTGAAAATGTATGGAATCAATGGTGATATGCTAGATTGGTTTGATAGTTATTTAAGCAAAAGAACACAACAAGTCATGTATAGAAATCATTTTTCCTCTGTAGGACATGTAAAAGCTGGAGTTCCCCAGGGCTCAGTACTTGTTCCCTTGTTATTTCTATTGTATGTAAATGATGTGGCTGAAAATAGTATATCTGTTTGTGGATTATTTGCTGATGATAATTCTTTACGACAATGTTCAAATAATATTAATCATATTGAACAAAATCTTAACCATGATCTTAGAATACTAGATGAATGGTCAAAGAAATGGTTATTGAAATTTAACCCACAGAAAACCACAGCGGTATTTTTCAATTTAAAAAATGTACAGCATTTTCCTAAATTATTTTTTGACAATTGCCAATTGGAATATGTTACAGAACACAAACATCTTGGGATACTTCTGTCGTCCAACTTAGGATGGTCTGATCATATTGATATCATTATAAAGAAAGCATACAAAAAACTGGGGCTTCTTAAAAAAAAAACTAAAATTTACTGTGTCAAGGGATATACTATCCGAAATGTATATATCTTTTATTAGACCACAACTTGAATATGCTGTTGAAGTTTGGTCTGATTGCACAAAAACAAACATTGAGAATCTTGAAGAAGCACAATTATTTGCTGCAAGAATTGTTGCTGGGCTTACAATTATTGCTTCAAGAAATTCATTATATTTGGAAACAGGTTGGGAACCATTGGAATACAACTGTATTATTAACTATGATCTACATAAAAGAAATATTATTAATAGCCCTTTATGTTCATGCGGAGAGAATGAAGATGTTAATCATTTCTTTTTTGCCTGTAGAAATTATCCAATTGCTAGAAATAATCTTTTTAATCGCCTATTTTTACTTGACGAATTGGTTAATATTGACACAAATCTGTTATTATGTGGTGATATAAATTTGCCAGTAGAAACTAATACTAATTTCTGCTGCTGTGCACAAATGTATTGAAGAATCATGTAGATTTTAAATTATTAAGTTACTGAACAAATACTGAGTATTTCACCTGTATCACTAATTTGAATTGACATGTATATTTCTATGTACTACTTGTTTTTTAATTGCATGACATACAGTTATAGTTATATTTAAGGAGAGGAACTCGTAAGTTGTAAGAACTTGTTTCCGATCCATTTGATTTAATTCAATAAAATATGTTCAAAACAACCATTGGAATACAGAAGAAGTAGGGCAAAACTAATAACAATGTATAAAATGCACAACAATTTAGTACCTAATTATTTAAAAAACTTAGTACCTGATACAAGAGGCAATATTTCAGGATACACTACCCGGAATTCTTTAAATTATTCTTTGCCAAAATACAGATTGGAACTATATACTATTGTTTGCAGCTTACTGTAAAGTTTCACGTTTCGTCACTATCTTTTTCGTCAGATGCATCCAGCGTAAACAATTCACGTGATTGGTCAGCTCAAATTATCAACATTGACACGGAAATAATCTGTTGCACGAGCAACCAATCAGGGATAAGAAGAAAGTTCCAGTCGTAAAGCTTGCGGTTAGGAGGCGTGTACAATTTACCTTGAGTGCAGCTGTCAACTAGATCGTGACGTAACGTGAAACTTTACAGTCAGCTGCAAACAATAGTAATAAATAATTTATTCCCGATACTGTTAGAAAGTGGAATTCCCAAATTAGTCTTAAAACAAGTGAGGCAACTTCTATCAAAATTTTTTTTAAAAAATATCTGCAAAATAGTAATGTAAAACCTCAGAAATATTTTTCTTATGGAAAAAGGTTTTTGAAAATAACTCATACAAGATTAAGACATAATTGTATTTCAAATTCTGACTTATATCGCTGTAACCTAATAACCAGTCCTAATTGCAGCTTGGGTTGTAGATTTTAATAGTGAAAAAACTTAATGTTGATTTTACTAGAAAACACATAAGTTATCCTAATATTCAGTTTGGATATGGAGGTGATTATATAAAACAATCAAATACTCATGTTCATTTAGGATTACAATTTCAAGCAGATGGTTCTTGGAATAATCATGTATTGAATATATATGAAAAGGCATGTAAAAGATTGAATATAATTAGGTTACTGAAACATAGTATTGATAGAAATTCACTAATAAAAATTTATTTTGCCTTTATAAGACCAATTTTAGAATATGCTGATGTTGTATGGGATAATTGTACCCAAAGTAGTTCAGAATTGCTTGAAAATTTTCAGATAGAAGCTGCCAGAACTACTAGTATTACTGGGCTATTAGTTAATTCATCCAGAATTTGTTTGTATGGTGAACTAGGGTGGGAACCATTATATCTTAGAAGAGAAAAACACAAACTTCAATTGATGTATAAATGATTAATTGTTCTGCACCTGATTATTTGTATGATTTGCTTCAACCTTGCTTTCCTGTTCAACATGCATACAATGTAAGATCTGGATGTAATAACATGTAAATCAGTTTGTAAACCAATGTCGTACTATAATAGTTTTATTCCCTCAACCATAAAACTTTGAAACAGTCTTAATCAGGATGGAAAAAACTCTCCTTCGTTACCTATCTTTAAAGCAAAGCTTAAAAATTGGGGAGCATCTAATAAACCTTGTAGGTACTTCAACTTTGGTAATAAAAAAGGGAATATCTTGCATTGTCAGATGCGAAACAATGCTAGCAATCTTAATGCACATTTAAAAAAAATCATTTTCGTCAGATATTCAATCATGTTAAGTGTGGATATTATACTGAAGATACTGAACATTATTTTATGAACTGCCCATCATATAATGTTGAAAGAAACTGGTAAAAAAAAATTAAATGATATTGATGTTGTTTTTGAACTCGACACTCTGCTATGAGGAAAATGTCAATACTCTTATCAAACAAATTGCAAAATATTTTCATATGTACAAGAATTCATTAAATCTTCTAAGAGACTAAATTAGGGACACTGTTATATTAAATACTCTATGCAAATGCATATTTTTCCCCCAGTTATTTGTATTATTTTTAAGCTGGAACAGTATGTAAATAATATGTATACAGTTAGGGGGTTGTAATCTTTTTTGAAATATAATATTGATAAATAATGCTTGATTGTGAATCTTTATTTTTCATTATAATCTTATTGAGTATCATGTACATGTATTATTACTTACTATTGTATCTTGACCTATTATACAAGGAGAGGGTGTATATAGGCTTTGCCTCTTGCCCAGTCCTTATTGCTTTATTCAATAAAATATGTTTTAAAGTGGTCCTAATTGTTCTTGTGGACTACTAGAAGATGCATATTATTTGTTTTTCGTTTGTAAATATTATGTAAAAGTAAGAAATTCCTTAATGAATAAGCTATTGTCATTTAATTACTTACATGTTATAGATGTACATTTAATGCTATGAGGCAATGATTCTCTTACTATTGTACAAAATGTTGAACTTTTCAAGACTATTAAAACTTTCTTAAATAAATGTGGTCGTTTTTCAAAATAAGTTTACTTTTTTATCTTACCATCTCAAATTATATTTGTATATTTAAAGAATTTATTTTTCCCTTTCTATTACTACGATGTATACAATGTATGTAGTAGACCATATGTATATATGTTGTTTTTTTTTTATTTTATTTTGTCAATTTTACAAAATGTTGTATTAGGAGAGGACTATCTGAGTTACTGAACTTGTGTCTGATCCTTTTGACTTAATTTGTCAATAAAATATGTTTAATTCAACGCTGTTTATCATGTGAAATAAAAATTAAAATTTATGTATTTTCAAAAAGCTACAGCGTTGTAATTAATCGTTCATCCGCGTATAAAGAAAGATATAGTTTTTGTTTTATTTAAAATAGACTATAGTCCTATTTTGTAACAAAGGCCCAAGTAGCCTAGTACCCGAGGCCTTCCGAGTGCAAGCACGAAGGTAGTCTAGGTCACCTACACGTTTGTTGCATCGATGCATGGTCTCACACAGTTTGAGTGGGGGGTCAAACGACTTGCGTGACCTAGGCTAGCACGAAGGCCCTGGAATCCTCTGTCCAATGGCGGCGCTCTATGGACAATTCAAGATGGCGGCGAGTAAGGTAAAGTAACATTAGCCCACATTACTTTTGGAGAATTTGGCCTTTTCTTGCTGGTTCATATGCAAATCAATTATACACAGAGCATTAGGAAAGCCTTCTCAACACTTTTAAAGCTTTATAGGAGGTTGATCCGACGAGTAAATACCCGATTTCGAGTGCTAGGCGATCCCTACCTAACGCTCGGTAACAAAACACGTGTGTAGCCTGTCATGCTAATTAAGTCAAGACTGATCAGTGCATACAACCATCATGTGAACATCCATATTATATTTAGGCATGGTTTTTACTACTGCATGCAAGCTATTCTTTCATCAATTTACGTCAAATTGCTTGAAAATTATGTTGATATGAAAAATTAAATACTGGCATGCTCTATTGGATTTCTTACATGCAAACCTTATATTTAGTACAATGACTTGGTAAGTACACTGCATGCTAAGCTATATACTAAAACCATCAATGAGGCATAACACTTAATGTACTGAACTATACTAGTATAAATTCTTATTCAATAACATACATGTACATTGTATACTCATCAACATAATGCTTTGGTGTAAATGGTTAGCACACTTCATGCTAGAGTCTGTATTTTGGCATTGAAGAGGACCAGGTTCAAATCCTGGAGGCATTCCATTTTTCAGTCTTATAATCCCTATAATTTCTTAACAAAGTGTAACGTTACTCTTAATTCACATTCAACATCTGTATATACACTGTATACTCATCAACATAATGCCTTGGTGTAAATGGTTAGCACACTTCATGCTAGAGTCCGTATTTTGGCATTGAAGAGGACCAGGTTCAAATCCTAGAGGCATTCCATTTTTAGTCTTGTAATCCATATAATTCCTTATCAAAGTATTACATGTATGAATCTAATGATCACATATGTCATGATATATGCTATGAAATTCTTCATCTGTACTTATTTTCCATATAGCCTTTACCATGTTTACGTGCATGTGGTCATAGGTTTACAGTGTGTTTTTGTTGTTGTGATAAAGCTCCCTTGTTTGCTTATATTTTATGACTTCTATGTAAACTACAGAAATTCAGTTTTTTCAGCATTTCAATCTTAGGCAATGGAGGAAATCCACAGTTATTCCCGCCTTCATATTAAGGAGAAGACCCCCTCCTTTATGCACGTGGAGCATTCTTACACAAGTAGGCCTAGCAGCAGGAAGAGATGTCGAGGGACGCCTACAGGGAAGACCCCAATTCAAGCTGCAAAAAAGGCCCCAATGGTTGGATCATTGATTTTAAAATAAATTACATACCTTTATGACAATCTTGTGAATATAAATAGAAAATATGACTGATATTGATAGGATACAAATTGGGTCACACAAATCTCTAGTTCTGCCTGTAGTAAACAAGCTATGTGGCTCATGAGATTAAAACTTAATTCAATTTGATCTGTTGACACTTATAAGTTTTTTCAAATTTTGCAGTTTTGAGTTATAGATTGAGAATGAGGGAAATAACAATAAGAAATGAATAGAATGGAATAGTCGATGTCTTTACTGAAGCATGGCAATTCAAATAGCTCATTATACTTGAAATGAATGTTACAATGTTCATAAGTTTTTTTTCACAAAGTCTTCTAGATGGGCCGATGAAGAGAAAAACTTCTTATCAAGTTACCTGAAGAAAGAAATTCCTAGTCATCCGATTTCCAATGAATATTGGAAAAACTGCGCCCATGAAATGAATAAAGACTTGGGCACAAACCGAACTGGTAAGGTTGAGAAATAAGTACATCTGCACTATCATGTTATAAATTGCGTATATCATCATGAAATCATTCTTTTTTGTCAGGAGCTTCGTGTAAAAGTTTTTATAGGAGATTTCTCGCCTCTGACACTGTGCTCACGTCTGAACCTGACTCAGAGAATGACATTTTGGCTCTGCCATTAGAACAACATACAGACCAGTACTGCCAGACCGACCTTTCATTTCCAGTAATGAGGTACTTCTTAGAGGTCATATATGCTGTAAACCAGTACTGAAGATAGCATGATTGCTGTTTTTTTCTAAAACCCCCACTCAATATTGCCATTCATGATTGTTCACCTCCTACTTAACTTTTTGATCCGACTGATATTTTGGATTTCCCATAGCAAGACATAATACTGCCATTATATTCATATGAGAGGCAGGGGGTATGATTTAGCGAGGTGAGCTCATTGCTCACAGTACCTACATTTATTTTACGGCAGTGATTCGTTTTGTGTATTATTGAAAAAATTTAAATTATTTGCGAACACTCCCATGATTTTGGTCTGTCACTGTGTCGGCAAGTTTGTCTGTATTTGTGTCTTTAACACTTTTGGTTCCTCACCATATCTCAAGAAGGCTTTAAGCTTTTGAAATTTATACCATAACTCTATATGGCCCTGCCTGTCCTTCTTAAGGTGTTCCCTCCTTCGACCCCCGCCTCCCTCCTAGAACCATGTTCTTTTTTGTTTACTAGCACACGGATTCTCAGAATAAGGCCATCCTTAAAAAATTGTTTGTTTGGAATTGCCACCTGAAGGGTTTCAGACACAGGAGGGAGGGAGGGAAATTATTTTATTTTTTTTTAATTGAAGATAAATTTTAAATTTTTGATAAAAATCTTAGTAAACAGCAAATACATTTTCTGAATTTTAAAAAGAGAATCTACCATCAACATGATTAATAAAAAATCCTAATTTTACATAGATCTGTATGGTGTCGGGATAGGGCCATTTGCGTTAGCTCGACATCACGTTCAGATAAACTCGTTGTTGTGCTAACACACAACACGCCGTCGCGCTAATGCAACTTTGCACAACGCGCCGTCACGCTAACACAACTTTGCACAACGCGCCATTGCGCTAGTGTTGTGCAAAGTTGTGTTAGCGCAACGGCGTGTTGTGCAAAGTTGTGTGAGCGGGACGGCGTGTTTTGTGTAAGCGTGATGGCGCGTTGTGTGTTAGCCAACGGCGCGTTGTGCAAAGTTGTATTAGCGCGACAGCGTGTTGTGCAAAGTTGTGTTAGCGTGACGGCGTGTTGTGCAAAGTTGTGTGAGCGGGACGGCGTGTTTTGTGTAAGCGTGACGGCGCGTTGTGTGTTAGCCAACGGCGCGTTGTGCAAAGTTGTATTAGCGCGACAGCGTGTTGTGCAAAGTTGTGTTAGCGTGACGGGCGCATTGTGTGTTAGCGCGACGCCGTGTTGTGCAAAGTTGCATTAGCACAACGGCGTGTTGTGTGTTAGCGCGACGGCGTGTTTTTTTTAACGCGATGTCGCGCTAACGCAAATGGCCCTATCCGAACACCATAGATCTGACACTATATTTAAGTGTTTTGTATGGTGCATGTGATATGTATATAAAGGGCAAAAAAATTGATTAAATAAAAAAAAAATCTTCCTACTTTTGATCCATAAAATTTTTTCAAGAGTGGGCATTTCAATGAGGCAAGAGGTAATTCCAAACAAACTATAATTTTATTTTGGCCTAAGCTCATATTTTTTCTTGTATCTTGTTTTCATAGAACTCCACTTATGCAGCCAAGAGAAAATACATGTCTGAAAGAGCATGAAGCCTTGTTAGATGACATGACACAGCAAGGACTTTTAAAATGTGCCTTTAATCGGACAATGGCGCCAGACACCGGAGTGGACAGTCCAGGAAAAGACATTTTGAAACTAGTTACTTTACTTTTTTCAAGTAATAGTGTATTAGATATTTGCAGGGCAATGTTTGACATCGAAGCCTTTAAGGAGTGTATGTGGAAGCTGTTTTTGGAGGAAATTAGGGAAAATACAACGTGTATGTGCCTCAAGGGACACAGTTGTTTAAGCAGAATTCATTTTGACTCCTTGAAGTCTTTTCAGTGGGAAGACCTAATTACAGAGATGTATGATCACCAGAGGCAATTTCTGCAGGTTTTACTTTCTGTGTGTACGTCAACCAAAAATTCCCAGAATTCCCAACACTTCTCCAATGTAGGCAAGGAGCTTGGACTCATTTATGGAATTCTCATGAAGAGGAGATCCAGCTCCCTATCAAGAGTCCAGCGAGTGACGTCCATCTCCCTTGCAGATGAAAGAGTTCACCAAAAGGTTAGGAAATTAACATACAAAAGCTTTTAATTTTACTATTCATGTATATATAATTACTGTTTCATGTACACATGATGTACACATTTTCATTTTTTTTTAAGTATTCAAGAATTGTGTGGTGGTATCAGCTGGGTGGTGTGGTGAAATCTGTTGTGGTGGTTGTAATATATTGTGACTTAATAATTTTTGATGAATCATTTTATTGGTTTTTTATATTTCAATATCGGTTATGTTTTGGTCTCTTATTTTTCAGAACTGAAAATACCAACAAGGACAAAGTGTACAATCTTCTTTTAAAGCATCTTGAGTCAAAAGGAATAGGCTTTACAGCAACACAGGTTTATATTTTCAACATCCAGAATTTTATAAATCATGAATGTTTGCGAGGTTGTTTATCTTTGTATAAAAAATTAAAATTAAAATATTTAAAACTCTGTAAAATACAATACATTTTCCCCTCCATTGCAGGTGGATGGAGTAGGAGCTCGAATCGTAAAAGGAGTATGTGATGTCTTGTGGTACCTTGATCCTCATAGAGAGACCTTTCAGAATCGGTGCATTTCTTTTTCTGGCTTCGACAATTTTTGTGGATTTAATGACTGGAAACTTCAGAAGAAGAAAAAGCCTAGGGTATTAATTTTTATTGATATGAAATCTATCAGTATTGAAAACATGATCTAGGGTTTCATTTATTATTTCTCCACATTTCATTTTCTCTGACTATGTAGATTTAACCACTTATAGTCATTATCAATGTACTGGGTACTCTACTGGCTAATTGTTAGTATTTAGAATTTCTTGAATTTAGTTTGCTTTGCAAATTTATTTTGCTTTGCCTTCAGGTCACAACAGAAGATTTGGAAATCCAGATGAATACACTAGTGACAATTCTAGGAAAACCTTACTTTTTGAATGATTTGGATGGTCACAGAAAGCTAAAAGAAATGTGCAGCAACCTGCTGGAAGGAATTAGAAGATACTTTGATTTTCTTCAAAAGCAAAAAGAGAAAAGTGAGGAAAATCATCTTAAATCTGAACCAGTTCGTTCCTTAACAGACAACTGGGGCTTGAAATCATTACCGGTAACATCGTCAACTGCTCCAGAGTATTCAGAAGTTCCCAGGGATTTGAGATCATTGGAGCCCTATACGCCATTGTTTTTGAATGAATATGAGCCTGAGGACCATTATGAGAAGAAAAAGTGGATGGAAAATATTTCATTTCCTTTTAAAGTGAAAATGTACATTCATAGCTTTGGAAACAATCTTGGAAACTTCAAATTTGTCTGGATCGCAGATGAAAATTCCTCAGAGGGAGACCTTGAAGCTGTAGCAGAGATCCGTGTAAATCTCCCAGTGTATACCACTAGAACAATGAGAAAGCTATTTATTAAAAGGTATGCAAAATGCGGTATTAAACCAGCTCTAATGAGAGATGTATATAGATACCTGACAGGTAGTTGCAATGCAGCAGAAACAAGTGACCAAGCAGCTGTTGACAGTAGAGTAGCTGAATATTTGTTGTCGGCTGATGATGAAACACTTTTTTATGATGAGTTGTGATAATTTTTTATTGTGATAACAAAAATATTTTTTTTTTTTTTTTTTTTTAAACTAAAGCTAAATGCTATCCATTTAAGGGCAGTTGAGCAAGTGCAGGTTACTCTCCTTTATGTGTGTGGAAGCACACTTTTCCAAGAAACTCACAGGTATTATGACCTAATTATTGTACGTGAAGGCATGGGATGTTCCTCACCAATCGAAGTACCTTATTATGCAGGTATAATGTATTTGTATTAATTAAGCAGAAACAATGATGTTGAAAAGGATCTTTTTTGCTGTTATTCTTTTTCGCATTAAAATATTAGAAAATTTATACAAAGTATTTTAATTCTTTTTTAAAAAATAGGAATCACTCAGAGGTTTTCTCCAATTTGCATTCATTGTGGTGATGATGATATCGACAATGAGCATCCTACCATACAAGAGCTTGTGAAAGAATTTGCAATTGTGCGACCTATATGCAGGAGCTGCGTCAAAACTGGAAAACTACCTATATGCAGAAATGCAATGAAAATGAAAAAAAAATAAACACCTTGTTATTGTGAAAATAAATGGCTTTTCAACCGATTCTATCTCTCTCTTGTTTTTTTTTTTTTTTTTACCGACCAACCGACCTTATTTTTTCAAAAAAAGTCTTGAAAAACAACTAATAAAAAAAAAATGGCCTTGCTTAAGTTCTACCATTTTGCCAATAATCAAGTTATATGTATTAATACATCTCACAATTTTTTTTTATTCACAAACAGGTATTGTTATGTCCATCATGTTCATACCGTAAATCTGGAAATTTTTGCTGTAGATAAATTTTTAGCAAATTTGCGAGTTCATTGCATTCGCAAAAATATTTTTCTTAAAAATAAATCACCAATAAGAAAATGTAAACAAAGTAGTGGTCATTCGCAAAATTTTGAAGCGTAAAAATTAATCAACAGCATTTTGACCCGAATTCGCAAAATAAAATCGACGTAAAAATTTCCAGATTTACGGTATGTACTGATATGAGAGATAAGTAAAAGATTCTATGTACCAGTAGTAGTAGTACAGTATATTATTGTAAAATTGGATTCTCCTTTCTTCTTCTTTTTTTCTTAATTTCGTAGATTTTCTACTGGAGCCATTTTAAATTAAGTGCAGAAATTCAAGGTGTCTAAAAATGTGAATCTGAACAAAAATAATTGAATTCTTTTCATTTGAAATAGATTTTGGAGTCTAACATAACAAATCCTGCTGATATTCATCATGTTGTTCATTTAAAGATCCATTCAGTCATATACTGTGCATTCTGTGTACTATATAATAAGCGTGCCTTTATATGATGAAACTGGATCTTTTTTACATTTTTTTTACTGTATTCAGTTTGACTACTTTTGAGTTTTAAAACAATACGAGTGTAATTGGTAAGTAGACAACAGTATTAAGGTAAGCTTTACATGTACTTTCATAATCCTTTGTTGATAATTTTTTTCTTTTCATTTGAAAAATATTGAATAAGGTTAAAGAATGTGTATACCTGATGTCACATGAAAAATTGATAATGAATGAGCTTCTTCTTAACTTTTGAAGGTGTATGACAGACTGCAGCCACTAGGCATTACCACCTCTCACTGTGTCATGCTGAGAACTCAGAAGCAGATTAGCGGCCATTTTAACTCGCAACTTATTCAAGCCGTCAAGGAAGACCGAACATTCCGTCTCATAGGAGACAATGTTAACTTTATGGTTGATGTGAGTCGTCAACGGCAAACCAATAAATCACATATGGAGCACTGGTTTGCGTCCATGGCTATTATTCAGCACAGCAACTTCAGCATTCTGTCAACTGCAAGACCCCAAATTCCCTTGTTAGAGTTAACTTTTTACCACAGCTTAGTGATTGGCAGATCATCAGAAACTGCTACATTCTTATCATTCTGGAAATTCTATGCAAATTCTGCAAGTATTTCCAGAATTTTAAGTCAGTGAAAGAGTCTATGAAAGCAAATCTCAGGCCAGGGGACTATGACATTTCCCAAATCCACACAAGTGTTCCCCTACCAGTTTTGCCGAAGAATGAACAAAAGTATGCCGATGTCATAGAAATCTTGGACTTTTACGAGAACATTGTAAAAAATGTGTGTGGGGAAAATAATGTTTCAGTGCATATTGGAGGAGACCAACTTACACGAGAGAGGTTTTCTGGTGCGAAGAGATTATGTGCGGCATCCATAACACCAAGGGATAGATTTGAACATCTTTCACCCATCACATTCGAATTCTTCCACCTGCAAATGTCTATTTTGACTCTCTTTTATAAGCTTCTTTACCGGAAAAGTGGAACTGCTATGGGGACCTTAAATGCCGAGAAAATTACATTGGGATGAACAAAAGCCAATGGTGATGATGTAAAAAACCACTATAATGACTGTAAAGAACTTGCAGATTCGTTTATTTCTGGCTACGTTGTTAATGCTGTTATGCATTTCTTTGAAATGGAAGAGATGAACTCACAACCAAACAGGGCCTTTGCAGCAGTAGATATTTCATCAGCAACAGAAGAAGAAAAAGAGAAACTTGTTGTGGGTTCCCTTGGAGAATTCGTAGATAAATTCATATTGAAAGAAGCCAAGTCTAATCTTACAAAAAAAAGCAACTTAAACCAGCAGATTACCTGTATCCTTCCAGATGGAGGAAAGTTAATCCTGAATATTCCAGTGTCTGTTCCTCAGGGTATTCCAGAGAAAAGAGATGATTGTGTGTTCAGCTATGGAAAAACTGTGTTAGAAACTGGATTATTGTATCAATGTTTAAATCGTCTAATTAAGATTCCAAATCGAGAAATATTTATCTCGTTAATGAAGTACATCATGTGTGTAGTGAAAGGGAACAACAACCAGTCCAAATATGCTTTTGAAATACTGAGATTCCTTTTTTTGCAAACCTCAGTGCTCGATCTAAAGACTGCCAAAGAAACTTTCTATGGACTCTTTGTTAACCAGAAAGGCAAAATGGACACAAACATTCCAGCTGATCTTCACATGGAGCACTTTGTCAAAGAGACAAAAGAGCACCTAAGTCGCTTCATGCAAACAAGACAGAGTCTTCCGTGCAGTCCCGATCCTCTGCCATAGCTGGAATGCATCAAATATCTGCAAATTATGATGAAACAACACATACTTTATAGAGCTAAAAGACATTGCACACCTTCATCAGAAGAGGATGAGATCAATATAATTCAAAGGTTATTACGTGTTAGACCTTTTGATATTGTTGATGGACGTAGTCTAGAATGCTACACAAAACCACTTGCAAGTCCACTTGCAAATATAAATTTGGGCCACTTACAGGAATGGATTAGGAGTCATCAGTATGAGATTCTCAATGACTTTGGCATCTAATCTTGTAAGAGATTTACAATTCAATACATATCCAACCCAGTTTTTTTTAATTTAATATTTATTCTACTGACTCTACTCAGTTAAAAAGACAAATTTTCAATTATGTTTTTTTCATCATGTGACAGTGGAAATGTAAACACATGGTAAAAAAGATTATCAATGCATTTCTATTAAACTCTTTTGTGTCACCTAGTGATTATCTAAACCTGTCATGCGACCATTTTAATCACTTCATAACACTTGTAAGTTATGTTGACCAGGTTTAAGTTTACTTGAGGCTTAAATTCAAAATAGCTTTTCCAATTGTCCTATGTCTGTCTGTCTGTTGTAAAGAATTTTAACTTATAAAGTACATACATATATTAATATAATTGTGTCCCTTACACTTGGGCATCACTCAAAAAACTTATCATGTTTATTAATCATTAAATGTACAGGTTATTGATCATTTGAAAAAAGCCAAAGTGGATGACTATGAATTCTTTCCATACTTTCTCCCCATAACTATTGCATATAAATGGGAGTTTTAATTAATTAACAGGTGAACACTTACACAGATGAACACAAAAATATCAGCTCTATGGGCTACTAACTGTTTTCATTTTTAGCATGTTCAGGACAATACACTGGTGGAATATACATTATGTACCATGAAGCAAACAGCAGTTGAAAGGCATTACATTGACACAATAAATTTTATAATTGTACATAAATTTTCAGCATGTTCAAGATTCATTCGAAAATCCTGAATTAAGTTCTCTTTCTCCATATATCTAGAATAATTGTGAATAACAGACTCTATTTCATAAAAAGACATCTGTAACTCATTATGTGAAATGTACTCTGACAATGATTGTTGAATGGCAGATTTCACTTCTTGCTTTAGATGTGGAGAAGAATTCCATTCTGATAAGCTAGGATCACAAATGTTACAGCACAATGGTTGCTTGTTTTCACTCTCTTTGTTGTCAACAGAGCATCCAAAGTAGTCATTCAGCATTTTTCTCCGACAGGTTGATTCATTTTTACAGAAGGCCTTCATTGTTTTGCTCATCTCAGGCCTGCCTACATCACTGTTGTTAAAGAATAAAATTGCAGTTGCTTGTTTTCCAGTTCTGCCTGCACGTCCCACTTGCTGAATGTAAGCTATTGGAATACATGTATTAATAAACATTATAAAAGATACCCATCATATTATAAGTTAGCATCTATATACCATTCAAGTATTGTTTATAAAAATGCATGTATGCAGAGTGCATTTTTTTAAAGTGGGATGCGTAGATGTTTTATACTCTGTACATACTATTAAGTGTACTTTAACATGTTTAAGTCTAAAATGTTCACAAATTTGGTAGATATTATTGCTTGACTCCATATTCAGTTAATTCCACAGAAGCATGATAATCATGGATAATAACTCATTATTTTTATGTACCGGGTATAAGGAAATTACTAGAGTATACTAGATGATAAGATTCATTAGAAAGTTACCCTCAGTGCTTTTAGGTGGACCTGCATGCACTATTCTTTCAACAAGACCAAAATCTGCCCCCATACCAAGGGCAGAAGAAGCCAATATGATCCTCAAGGGACTTTTTTCAGAGGAAATTTGATGAAATATCAACTCCCGTAGCTGAATGTAATAAACAGATCTATTTATTTGGGCCTCACATCATTTAATTCTTGATTATTGACACAACAAAACCAAGTATCCTAAGACATTTAGTCAAGGGACAGCAGTTAAATACTTCAATAACTATGAGGTTGTAACTCTTGAACCTAAATATATTTTCTTTTTTTCTGTTGGGCCGTGTTGTTTCTGGTTTTTAGTAATGCATGTACCTTCAACATAATCAACTCAAACTGTGGTTAACAATACATTTTTTTTTTTAAATGAAATGATAAAAATTATATTCTCATTCAATATTTCAATCTTAATTTTCGTGTGATTTGCAGTTCTTACCTCTTCACTCCCATACTCCACAGATGCATGGTACATGACAATTCTGGCATTTTCTGGCCTCTTTTCCCCATTGTACAACAAGTCCCCTAATACTCTGCAAGCATGCTCATAAGCAAATCCAATATAGTTCAGTGATGAATTAAAGTATACTATAGTTAGTGGAGTATTACTCAATTTGTTTTTCAGTTCATTGAATAAAACATCTAAAATGTGTCTGTAGGACATCCTTACATCCTTAGAATTAGAAGGTCTTCTTAAAACACTTAGTGAAATGTTAGACTTAACTGGTATCTCACCATGGATTCTAAAATCTTTTAATGATAGAGATCTTTGAATATCAGCCTGACCTTTTACAGAAAGTGTTGCAGAGAGACAAAGCATATTTGCATGAGGAAGTACAGCCCAGAGTTCCACTAACTTGCTGTACTCGGGACGAAACTCATCTCCCCACTCCAAAATACAATGAGCTTCATCAATTACAATAACAACTCTGTTTTCTTCAAAATATTTGCACTGAAAGAATTTATTGACTAGTGGTTTTCCCAGTATGTTCTCAGGGTGGCTGTAAACATAGCTATATGAAAATTGTCCATCCTCAATGGTTTTGCTTATATTCAAGTCTTTAAGAACTACAGCCATACCATCTAATTTGGAAATTTGTTGATTGATAATCACATTCAGGGGTTCCACAACTATAACCTTAGCGTCAGGCAATACATATGGAATCAATTCATAGATGAGGCTTTTTCCGTAGCCCGTTGGTAATGCTGCAATTACATCATGTCCATTTAAAACATCCAGAAGAGCACTGTATTGTTTTGGCTTAAGTTTTACAATTTTGCGACCAGTCCTTTCATTAAACTTCACCAGTGCTGCATCAATGTCATCTTGAGTAAACTATTATAAATAAATCAATCTATGAGTTAGAACATCAATCCGAGTGAAAATTGAGATCAATACTGAAGTTTTAAACTATACCAGTAATGCTTAATATCATGCGGCAAAGATGAAACATAGCCAAGATAACAATTACATTTTAATGTAGAAATGCCCCCAGGATTTGAACCTGGTCCTCCTCATTGCCATTTTAAAGAGAAAATCTCTAGCATGAAGTGTGCTGACCATTTACACCAAGGCATTATGTTGATGAGTATACAGTGTACATGCATGTTATTGAATTATCTGTATCTGTATCTGTATCTGTATTGTTACATCACAGTAACCCCGTTGGGCTTTGATGTGACGGATGGAGGGCGCTTAGTCGCGAAGATGTTCTATCGCCGACTTAAAGCTTTCTAGCTTTGGGGCGCGGACTGCTTTCTCTTCCAGGTGGTTCCAGTCAACAGCTGTACGTACAAAGAGTGAATTTTTCAGTTGGTCTGTCTTTGTATCAAGTATCTCAACTGCACGGCTGTTATTCCTGATCCTATTACTTATGATATTTGTCGCTTGATAATCCTCGTACACTTTCGGTCTGATGTTTCTTTTCGGTTTTTGAAATTTTATATATTGGTCTGATTTAATAGCTGGTATCTGCCCCTCAACCACTTTGTAAAAAAAGATAAGACGTTGTTGTTGTCGTCTGGTTTGTAATAAGGGGAGGTCGAGATCTTTAAGCATCTTTGTCATTGTACCCTCTTCCCTTGATTTATAGTCTTTGGTTATGAATCTTGCGCCTCTTCTTTGGATGGATTCTAATTTTGTTGATTCTTGTTTGGTGTATGGATCCCAGATGACAGCTCCATACTCCATTATAGATCTCACTAGTGCTATATATGCAATCTTTCTACATTCCCTTGGACAGTGTTGTAGGTTCCTTCTTAGGAAGCCTAGGGTGGAGTTGGCTTTATTTGAGATGTTGTTTATATGTTCTTTCCATTTCAGGTCTTCTTGTATTTGTAGTCCTAAGTAGGGATTTGATGCCACTTGTTCTAAGGTGTGGTTCTCAAGGGTATATTGGCTGTTTATTTTTCTACGAATGCTTAGTATATAGCATTTTTTTGCGTTAAATCTCATACCCCAGTCAGATGCCCACTGTTCCAGTTTTTGTAGGTCCTTTTGTAGTAGGTTTTGGTCTTTGGGTGATTTAATTTCCCTGTACAAAAGGCAGTCGTCGGCAAAAAGCCTAACTGAAGATTTTACTGCGTCAGGGAGATCATTTATATGGCAGAGAAAAAGTATGGGTCCAAGTACTGTTCCCTGTGGTACCCCGGATTCCACGCTAGTGTAGTCCGAGTATTCCCCATCCAACTGGACTCTCATTGTCCTTTTTGTTAGGAAGTTTGTTAACCAGTCGTGGATTTCTCCCCTTATTCCGTATTGATTGAGTTTGTGTAGGAGTCTATCATGGGGAACAGTGTCGAATGCTTTCGAGAAATCCAGGATTGCTACGTCTACTTGATGACCCTTGTCGTAGGATAGTAACATGTCGTGTATGGTTATAGCGAGTTGGGTTTCGCAGGAATATCCGGACCTGAAGCCGTGGTTCAAGGATGTTAATATTTTGTTGCATTCCAAATGTTTCATCATTTGTCGACATATGATATGCTCTAGTAGCTTGCAGGGTACTGATGTTAAGGAGACTGGTCTGTAGTTTTCAGCTGCGTGTCTATCCCCTTTTTTGAAGATACACGATATGTTTGCGCTGAGCCAGTCTTTTGGTAATTCCCCTGTATCTAGTGATTTTTGGTATATAATCGACAATATTGGTGCTATTTGGTCTGCACATTGTTTCAGGACTCTATTTGGGATGTTATCGGGTCCGGCTGCTTTTGATGGATTGATGTTTTTAAGCAGTTTTGCCACGCCTTCTTCTCTGATGGTGATTCTTTTTATTCCTGTTTTTAGGTTGATGTTCGTCGGGGGCATTGTATTTACTTTCTCCTTTGTGAAGACTGATGAAAATTGTCTTAGAAGGATCTTTGCTTTTTCCTTGCTGTCAGTGATTAAATGCCCTTGATCTTTTAGGGGTGCTACTCCGATGTTATCTTGTTTGCGAGATTTAACATATTTCCAGAATGGTTTAGAGTTGTTCTTTTCCATGCCTTCCAGGATTGCTGTATTTATGTAGTTCCATTCTGCTTTCCTGATTTGTCTTTTGCATTCTTTTTGGTGGTGTTTATAGTTTGTCCATGACCCTGTTCTTTTTGCTTGGTTATACAGGTTTTGTTTCTTCTTGATCATCTTTTTGATTTTGTGGTTGATCCATGGGAGCTTATTGTTGGATTTTATCATTTTTGTTGGTACGTTCTTTTTTAAGCTGTTGAATAGAATGGTTTTGAATGTTTGCCACATATTCTCGACGTCTTTGTTGTTCCTATCCAAATCAATCAGTAGGTCTTTTGTTTCCCCAAGGTCTTTGGTTAGTCCTTCCCAATTCGCCTTTGACCATATGTATATTGTCCGAGGGTTTTGTTTCTGGTAAAATGGCTTTGTATCTAGGTCGGTAATGACTATTGCATGATCCGAGATGCCTGGTATTACGGAAGATGATTTTACTAAAGAGGGGTTTGTTGTGAAAACCAGGTCCAGGTTGTTATTTTCCCGTGTTTTCCCTTTGAATTTGGGTTAACCCCGCTTGAGATGTGACATCTACCAGTGAGTTCTGTACCTCTTTGTCCGTTGCGTTTCTTTTGAGTCCTAAGTTGTCCCATAGTATGTCTGGGCAGTTGAAATCGCCAGCTAGAATGATGTTACTTTGGCCATCTTCTGAAATTAATTTGAGTGATTTCTCTAATTCATCTACAATGTTGATGTTTCTGCGAGGCATGTAGAATGCACCTATTAGTAGGTCTTTTGCGTTATTATTATTATTATTTTATTATTCAGTGTATAAGAATCTATAGTAGTATAGTTTAGTACATTACCTTGAGAAAAATGCATTTTTATAGAAATACATTGATTTTGAAGCTAAGCTACCTCAGATAGGTAAATAAAGCTAAGAAGGTAAATCAAGTTACGTAGCTAATCTAGTGTAGTAGTGATTGTACTGGACCTCTTTGTTACCGAGCGTTAGGTAGGGATCGCCTAGCACTCGAAATCGGGTATTTACTCGTCGGATCAACTTCCTATAAAGCTTTAAAAGTGTTGAGAAGGCTTTCCTAATGCTCTGTGTATAATTGATTTGCATATGAACCAGCAAGAAAAGGCCAAATTCTCCAAAAGTAATGTGGGCTAATGTTATTTTACCTTACTCGCCGCCATCTTGAATTGGGCTTGGTGTAAAATGCGGAGGATGGAGTCTCCACAAAACTCCAAAATGGAGGGTCAGAGAGTGCAAGGGGTGGAGCCTCTTGTGTCAATTTTTATACATTTGCCCGTTTTATTTTTCAATCAAAGCTGGATACAACTGGGTTGCTTGTAGAGCTCTCCATCAGTGATAAAGAGCGCCTGTCAGAATTAATTACTGAGTCTAGATACCGGTTACTGGTATGTAAAAATTTTATTGCAGATAATTATGTCAGGCATAACACATCGCAGATCACTTTGTCTGCAGATTATCATCAATTAAAAAGTATATTTCATAATTGCTGTAAAAGCTACAAAAGCTTCTGTAAATTACAACTGAAAATGAAATTTAGCACAAAAAAAAAAGATAACATGACTTTCAATTATATCAACAACAAATGAGGGGACAATTTTTTGTCATCTTTCCCTAGAAGTTTAGGTAATCTAGCCCTTAGCAATTTTAACATTTGGCCCTTCAGATATTTGATACCTATACTAATAAAATCTGTCAAGACCTCATGGGTTACTGCGAGATAGCAGTGTGAATCAGACAGTTTCCATTGCACTTAGCATCTGTGATATAGCAAAACAAAATTTAAATCACAAGCACGGGCTGCATGCCCCTCATTTGTTTCTCATATCTGTAGGTCGTTTCGATTCTCATTTTGTTGTCTCTTTATCATGATGCTTGTTTCTCATTCTTTTTAGAGCAAAAAAATAAAATAAAATAAAAACAGTTAATAGCCAGAGTTCTCTAATAAAACAATCAGTTCATTTACTGAATCTATTATTTAATTATTTTTTAATTTTTCTAAAATGGGATAATATTTCTGAGTGAATAATGACATCACGGCACATTTCCAACATCGGACAGTGTCTTCGACAGCAATCAGATTTCAGATGGTAATAGGTGTTTTGTAATGAGGCCGATATTCCTTGACACCTTTATATACATATCAGTCTATTTATATATATCTGTATATAATATCACCAAAAGATAATAATTTTGATGCTATTCTGTTTCAGTCAGTCTTTGTTATCGTTAAAAATTAAATAATCAGCAAAGCTGTTCCCCTCGTTGAAATGTGGTGTTCATTATTTTTTTTTTAATACCGTTCCCTGTTTCTTTGTTTCTCATTTTGTATTTTATGGACTTTATAAACAAATGTCATCAGATACTGTCAAATGGTTATCACAAAATCAGGTTGGGAGATATAACTGAGTTTCATTCACTCAACTTCAATGGATTTTTTTTTAATTGTTTGGGTAATGTAACACTCTAACACATTCTCACGGAGTATCAGAAAATGAGATGACAGATCTAATAAGCACGTGCTAAATTTACGACAAGCACTTTGCTCCACCTCCTGCATCATCTAACACAAGAGGCTCCACCTCTTGCACTCTCTGACCCTCCATTTTGGAGTTTTGTGGAGTCTCCATCCTCCGCATTTTACACCAAGCCTCTTGAATTGTCCATAGAGCGCCGCCATTGGACAGGGCCTTCTAGCCTGGTTCCCTGTCCCTGTTTTGCTTCATATACTCCGCGTCACTAGGGCCAGGTGGAGTACAATGGATTCAGGGCGAATCTGCCCTAAATCTTATTCCATTGTGACGTCCAATATGGCTACACTTCCAGTGAAGACGTTCATTGTGACGTCGTTTTTTCTACGTCGTCGACGTAATATGTCATTGTTACGTCGATATTTATTTCCGTGGTTAACGGCAACGGCTCGTAAACCCACGATTTAGCGCGCATTGTTCTGACCAATCAAAGGAAAGCATAGAATGTAATCCACCTGGCTCTCCTGCCTTGGCAAGGGTGAGCCAGGGGACCAGGCTACAGGGCCTTCGTGCTTGCACTCGGAAGGCCTCGGGTACTAGGCTAAGGCCCAAGGTGTGGGAAGGTATAATGCCCTGATAGTATAATGCCCTGATTGACCTGATTTCATATATATGCTGAAATAAAGAGTTTTTATGCATATTCACAATATAATTTTTATTGGAAATGATGAACATTATCATTTTCTTTAAGAACCATGAAGAAAATGCAGAATCAAAATATTTTTGTATGTTTTATTTGACTTAGAAATTTTACAGGGGTATAATGTCCTGATTTTGAGGTATAATGACCTGATAACCTGATAGTATAAAAACTTCTAATAAACACAATTTAAGATTATTTAAATATTAATATTTGATAAAATATCTTTTAAGAGTGATATATGAAGTTAATTTAATTAAAGCTGGGTGAAAATGTGTTTTATATATTGCCTGAAATCACTTTTGAAGTTTGTAGGGGGTATAATGTCCTGATTTCTGAATGCCCTGATTTACATAGACATAGTGATAAAAATGCATATTATCAACTTAAATATTACATTTTTATTGAGGGAATTATTGATTACATATGGTGATTCTATACTAGTATTATGTATACTTTTTATTATTAAGAATTTTATTAGTCAAGAAAAGGTAATGACCTATAGCTGATATTTTGAAATGACCAAATATACTCATCTGATGGCCTGTATATTACAAAAAAATATGTTCAATTCCCTTACCAAACTGATATGTTAGCTGCAGGCCTGCAGCAAGTTTGCTGCAAGCTTGCAGCAAACAAAATTGTTTGCAGGAAGAAAATTTTCTTGTTCGCAGATGATTGCTGCTAGCTGCGATCTTGCGGCAAACATTGCAGCAATTGCTGCAAGCTTGCAGCAAATTCGCAGGAACCCAAAATGTTTGCAGGAACATTGCAAGAAACATACACGTCAATATAATGTTCATATATAATTACGCGCACAGCAAGTTCGCAGGAAATATTGCATGATTTGAATGTTTGCAGGAAGTTCGAAAGAACAGTAAACAAGTCAAATCAGCCAATGAAATGCAGACTGTACTGGGTCAACACAGAACTGGCCATTTTGTTCATTAAACAACCTTATCTGTAATTTAGCACCTAAATATTTACAACAATTTAAGAAGAAATTTACTTTGAAATGGCTTTATATATACAAATGTATTTCTACTTATTACAATGTTTTACCCTACTTCAAATATCAATCCACCAGATATAGCAGAGATATTTTTAGTGGTTCTAAAAAAAAAATGAAAAAAAAATCTGGCATGCAGCTATCTAATTTAATTTATTGTATTTAGACAGATATTTTAAAAAGTTTTCGCTTTTTTTAAGGGTCATGACCCGTTATATAACTTTATTTCTTTAATTTATACGAATTAATTAAAACAAAAGTATATTATTTAGTATTTTAAAGAAATAATTTTTTATGCATTATATAATTTCAAGTTCAGCATATGAAATGTTATGTTTAGAAAGAACTGAACTTAAAATTGTGAATGCATAATAACACATACTGAATTAGAGCTTTGTATCAAATATTTTTCATTTTTCTCAAATAAACAAATTAACAATATTTCAAAAAATATGCCTTAGAGAAATCTTAATTAATTTTTTTTAAGTTTATTAATAGATTGTTTTATTTGTAATACATAGTTTTGAGACAAATATAAAAAAAAATCATTTTATAAGTATATAAAATCAAATGTTTAATTATTTAACAATTTTGTCTTTTTTGAAATATGTTATACGGTTTGTTTACGCAATCAGCAGAACATTGTTGAAAGGGATTACACAGGTGTTGATTACAGAAGCCATATAGGGGAGGTAGTAAAGGAGGGTACATGTGGTGTATGTCCCTTTGACACTATCAGACATAATAAACAAGCAATGATATGTATACACAAACAGTGTACATAATATTTTTTTAATTGATCAATTTATTTTGTTGTACAGTCTGTACCTTGCTGTAGAATTACAGCTATTTAAAAATCGGCATATACCTGTCAATTTTTATTTATCCTACTTAAAATTATGTCAACAGACGTACTTAATTCATTTGATGTTTTATTGAAAAATATAGAAATTTGTCCATAAACGTGTGAATGCTCGTAACTGTTAAAACAACAAACGAATAAAAATTTTAAAAATCATAAATTTAATACAACCTATCTTTACCCACAATTTTAAAATCTTTAGTTACCTCAAGGCTTATATAAAATATCTGCATTTTCCCTACTTTTGAATGTTAATCAAAAAATACTATTTTGGCTGTACTGCGGCCAGTATATCAAATTATCATTGTTCTTAAAAATTATTTCTTATAATTTTCTCTAAAACAATCAAAAGTTTCTTCAAAGATTTTGCATAATGTTATTGCATAGATAAATCTTAAGTTTGCACAAAATACTGGCGTAGAGTACGTGCTACAATAAGATGTATATATCAAGTGACTGAAGTGTATCAACTTTAAAATTATCAACATAATTAAGAAAATAAAATTTAAAAAAATGAATGAAAATTAACATGAAATTATGAAAAGCATTTTAATTTCCATTCAGTTTAAAGAATAAGTTTCGAAACAGGTGTTAAAATCAGGTCATAAGCAAAAATCAGGGCAATCAAAAAATCAGGACATTATACCCCTGCTAACTCCAAAAGTGCTTTTTGAGCTAGACATAAAAGATATTTTCCAAAAATCTTTTTTTCTAAAACACTTATTTATCCTACTGAAAACAATTTAGATTGAAAAATTAAACAAATTTGATAATAATATGCTTTTTATTAGAAGTTTCATATTATCAGGACATCGGGTCATTATACCTCAAAATCAGGGCATTATACCCCTGTTGATTTTCTCTTTCAAATAAACAAAATAAAAACATAATTTTTAATTTTTTTCTTTGGTGAATCTTGTAGACAATTAGTATCCAAATTATAATCAGTTAAAAGAAACTTGTTTGGGCACTTTACTACTTCATATTTTAGAATTAAATGCAATCAGGGCATTATACTATCAGGGCATTATACCTTCCCGTATCGGAAGTCGCCATGATGCATAATGCGTGCAACATGTGCAATGTAATGTTTCGCTGCTTGTTATATATCATCTGGATGCTGGCTGGTATAAATCAAGTAAGAATATTTATAATACTGTCAAACACTAAAGCACTTAGTATTTTATTTTCAAATAATAAATTAAATTATAGTTGTTTTCAAAATGAATATTGCCGAATGAAGGAAAAATAATTATTCCAGTAGTTTGTTTAAGAAGGAGTTTTAAAAAGAATATCAAAACAAACATCTCGGTCTTTTAGAATGCATGTGTTTATATTAATTTCAAGAAACGCCAACATACTTTCATTTTCCTTTTAAACAGTTTAACTATCATAGGTAAGTGTAATGGTAGAATCTAAATTGATTTCCGGAAATGATATTTAACTTTAATCTAAATTTTAACAATGATATCAAATTAACTACGGACCTAAAGTAGCTGCTTTAGATCTATGTATTAACATAGGGCCTATATATTCACGTATTTTCACGTGTGCAAGAATATTGGTTCTTATATATTTTATGTTCCAATTTTATGAAATTTATTCAATTCAAATTTTTACATTCATTTGAAAGGGATATTCTAATTTAATTAAAAATGTAACAATTCTTATCAGACATTTAATTATATTGTTTATAATTTGTTAATACTAAATGGAACTCTACTTAATAACCTATTCACAGATGAATTGTTGAGATTTTTGAATTACATCTGTCTAAACTAGGTACAATACACTTTCAATAAAGAAGTTAGTTCTAAATACAATTAGACATTTTTAGTGATTGGCTGAATTTCTTTTTGTAATAAATATGATATTTCTATATATAAACAAAAACAAGGCACGAGCCTCGTTTACATTTTGGAGAACTTTAAGTTCTGTCAGTATCTCGTTTGTTAATCAATAAATCATGTTCAAATTTTTGCTGATCATTAAATATCTGATGCCTTAGTTAGGAATAGTAAGCAATAAAACTGGTTTAAAGAATTCAGATAAAACTGTGTCCAAGTCCCTTTAAGTAAAAATTCTTGAAGAAGGATACAAATATTCTAATATAATTTTAATATAGTGTTTCATGGAGTCCTTCATCAGTTGCTTAGTACAATGTATTGACCTTCAGGTTATAAGTTTTGAGATACCGTGTAACCTATCAACGTCTACAGTGGAAATCGTGGAACAATGTCCCGCAGACGAAAAAAGTTACAAAGAGGCAGAATCCAGGAAGAACTGCTCTTCAATTAGTCACCCCTGTGTTAGTTTTGATTATCACTGTGTAATGAATGCGTGGAGAAATGCTACTGTAGAAGTGTGTGCCCCATCGCTTTTCATCATAGGTAAGAATAGTTGAAGAACTGTAGGGTTATCATGCTGTAAAGGATGACTGCACTTAATGCTGTGTTTTGGGTCTTTTTCGGTCGCTTGTGTTCCTTTTAAATCTTAAATAGTAAAACTAAGTCCACTTTTATACATTTACTATAGTGGTCTATCAATCAGACACCGAATTTAAATGTTAAAAATAATCTTAGACTGTAATGCAATAACTAATAATTTCATGGTATTGTCTTTACGGTTTTTCAAATACAGAAAATTTACATTTACCCGCCCTTGATTGAACATTATGCTTGTACAAGTAACAGCATTTTAAATACCTTGCTTGACTAAATCAATCAATATCTACATGATGGAGTGATAAACCTTTCGAGCAATACTTTTGTGGGTTTAAAATACGAGGGTTGTTCGATATGTATTGTGTATTGTACGATATCTCAAAAGCATTCGATTCAAATAGTCAAATGGACATTACATCCCTTCAAATTATCCTCCGTGATTTGAAATACGCAATTTTAATCTCTGAATCCATTTCTGAAATGCCTCACGGTACGCTGATTTAGGTATACCTTAGCTGCAGATCTGTAGCGTTATGGTTTTTTTATAGGGTGAATTCACCATGCATCGGACACATACCTTGCTTCGGACAACTTTAGACAATAAATTCTCTTTCAACTTAAGAGTTCCGTGTATTTATTTGTTTCTGTCTTAAACCTGAAGATTTAAATTTTTTAATGATACCGATTGTTATTATCATGTTGTGATAAAAATATCCCGAGAATGGCCTTGAAGTTACGTCATATTTTACATCATCAAAGGGGAATAACCAGAAATTTATGATTTTGGGATTTTTAGAGTTATCGTTCTTAAAATTCAACTTCAACGGAACGAGTCAGACTTTGGTGAATAAAGTCAAAGATTGGTAATTTTACATAAATTTTAAAGAAATTTCACTTCAATGTTCCTATATTTCTTTTAAGAGCTGGTTTTCACTAGTATGTTCATTTCTCCGTTCATCGGACACAAATTAACCATGCATCGGACACTTTCCGATGCAAAGGTAAGCGCTACCATTTTCATAGAGAACCCAGCTGATAGCTGTTTTTTGCTGAAAAAGAAAATAAAAAAACAATATTTTCAGTCAAAATACAAGTTATCGGTATATGACGTCTGGAATTTGACTCAATTTATTTCTACAAACCAGAGTATGATAAACCATGAAAAAAAGGCGCGAATTACCGCATTATAAGCATTTTAAAGCATTTCTAAGGCAGAGTGAGGTCTCTTGAATCGTTCTACATTTGTGCAACGATATCGTCAATTAAATTTAAGTTGAGGGTTATTTCTTAGATAAAAGATGAAATTATATCCATATCAAGCATTTTAAAGCACTTTAACAAAGGTGTGATATTTTTCCGGTCAAAATACCGTCTGTCCGATGCATGGTAAACAATGTCCGATCCATGGTGAATTTTGAGTTATTCCTAAAAACTCGATTTTTGAGGATATTTTCTCAATAAAGGGCATATAATTGTGTCCCAAATTGATATTTTAATCACAAACTAAATGTTAAACTCCATTTTGATAATCTTCCGTCGGTAGCGATATCGCTAGAACTTGTTGAAGTACAAGGGTATCCGATGCATGGTGAATTCACCCTATATGTCTTTGACCATAACGCTGCAGATCCCGTAGTGCAAAAAATGTGCAATTTACGGCGCAATATTTTTTGCGCTCTTTTGGGGAGAATTTCTCCAATTTCTAACATCGGTCTATCAACTACTTTTCAACTCCTAATTCTAGACACATTTAGTAGCCAATATATATAGTTTATCCACCTCCCAACCATTTATGGTTGTCTCTACAGACAATAAACTCGCTTGAAGTGAATTTTCAGTTATCTAACAAATAATTTTAATCAAGCGAGTCTATCCTTTGTACAGACGACTAAAAAGGGTTGGGAGATGGATAAAATACAAAGATTAGTTAAATAATGTGTCTAGAATTTGGAGTTGAAAGAAAAGAAAGCATTTTATTGTTTAAATAAGATTTATAAGATTTTTCGAATCTTATAAAACTGTATTTTTAAAAGAATAGAGCAATGCTCTATTTCCTAATACAAGTCTTAACTTAAGGCCGGTATACACGATTAGATTTGTAGTATAATACAAGTATTATAATACTTTTGTATTATAAAACCTTCTTGTACTCATGCTAATACATATCTTATAAGATTGTAAATAAACTACGTATTCCAACATGTTTTCCCCGCCATATTTCTCTCTCTCTCAAAATAATAAACATAGGTAATCAGAGATTACAGAGCTCACCTCAACGAATGTTGTCTTTAAGTAAGGCAAAGTCACACAATTACCCAACAAAAAGCGTACATCCAAAAATGCAAAATTTATGCAATTTTGATCTGATACTTTGGAATAGACCTACATTGTATATAAAAACTTCAAACTAGTTCTTCATCACGAAAATGTGATCAAAATCCAGCATCTGAAGAAAGTTTAAGAGTTTTCATCCCTTGATGTATCATTTGGGCAAGTTTGGTTTATTTAAGCCGTACAGTTTCTTGGTGATAGACCTGCACCCATAACTTTTTCCTGGTCCATTATCTGGAAACTGTACGTCGAATTCAGCATCCAGAGCAAGTCCATTAGTATGCATCCTAAGATGTATCATCCATGCGAGTTTGCACAACTTAGGGCTAATAGTTACTTAGAAATGAAACCTGCATATAAATTTCACCTCTTCACTCATCCAGAAAAAAATTTAGGTCAGATTCACCATCTGAAGCCAGCCTGGTAGAATGCAACCTTAGATGTATCATCCATGCAAGTTTGGTCATTAAAGAGCTCATAGTTACTTAGAAATGAATCCTGCTTCAAAAACTTTAACCTGTTCACTCATCCAGAAAATGTAGGTCAGATTCAGCATCCGAAGCAAGTCTGGTGGTATGCATCCTAAGATGTATCATCCATGCAAGTGTAGTCATTATAGGTTCATTGTAACTTGGAAATAAAACCTGCCCCAAAAACTTTAACCTGTTCATTCATCCAGAAAATATAGGTCAAATTCAGCATCCTAAGCAAGTCTGGTAGTATGCATCCTAAGATGTATCATCCATGCAAGTTTGGTCAACATAGGACTTATTGGTCCTTGGAAATGAGACCTGCACCAAAAAACATTAACCTGTTTACTCAACCGGAAAATGTAGGTCAGATTCAGCATCCGAAGCAAGTCTGGTAGTGTACATCCTTAGATGTACCATCCATGCAAGTTTGGTCAACATAGGGCTTATATTTCCTTGGAAATGAGACCTACACCAAAAACTGCACCAAAAATGTTAACCTGCTCCAAAAACATTAACCTGTCATTCCTTTGCTGAAATTGCAGCATCTGAAACTTTGACTTGTACAATGAAACACAGTAAATGCATCTTCCATGCATGTCTAATTAATATATAGGACATAGAAGTACTTTAAAAAAACTGCTTCAAAAAAATTAACCTTAACCTGGGACGCCGATGCCGAGGGTATTACATAAGCTCCCCCAACTTCGTTGAGGTGAGCTAAAAATGGAGGATGAGGTTCTGATAGCAGTGTCTATCTTCGTACTATGCACTGCTTGATACATTCCACAAGTCCTCTTCCCCTTCCCATAAAACAACGAGTTTTTCGATGTTTTTACTTGTAAAGACGGTCATTATTATTTACCATGTGCTATCTTTAGTAATGATAAAAATAGAATGACCCCTAGTGTCAGTAAATTTCCTTGGTTGAAAGTGAAAGGTAAGTTAAGTCTTGTATTAGGAAAAAGAGCATTGCTCTATTCTTAATACAGTTTTATAAGATTCGAAAAATCTTATGATACACTGTATTAAGAGTGTATACACAATAAGATTTTGTATTATAATACAAATCTCATAATACAAATCTTACCGTGTATACCGGCATTTACCTATCACTTTCAACCAATGAAATGTAATGACGCTAGGGGTCATCCCATTTTTATAATTACTAAAAAAAAAAAGCACATAGTAAATAATAATGGTAAACTTTACAAGTAAAGACATCGAAAAACTCGTGTCTTAATGGGAAGGGGAAAAGGACTTGTGGAATATATCAAGCAGTACATAGTACATGTACGATGATAGACACTGCTACCAGAGCCTCATCCTCCATTTTCATTACTTTGACAGAGAGAGAAATATGGCGGGGAAAACACGTTGGAATACGTAGTTTACTTACGATCTTATAAGATATGTATTAGGGTGAATACAGGAAAGTATCATAATACAAAAGTATTATGATACTTGCATTATACTACAAATCTCATCGTGTATACCGGCCTTAAGAAAAGCAGTTTTTTCTCTTTTAAACCGTGAGCGCATTTTTGTCTATTAATCTCCTTTTAACACAACATCACTAATGCAAATATAGAACTACTGTTAAAAGGAGAACTGAACAACAGACAAACATGCGCTGACTATGTATAAAGTGAGTAAAAAAAAGTGGGAGTCCTTATTATCGTACGGAGATTGAAAAACTTTTGATGACCCTCGCCTCAAAAAACGGATTCGTACATCATAGATACATACTTTTATTTATTGTAATTAAGTAAAGTTGTAGATTAGATGTTGATCATTCCTGCAATTAAAAGAAAAATGTCTACTTTAAAAGTTTATTTTCACGCAAATATCGCAGATCCTTAAGTGCAGTCATACTTCTGAATTTACTAGGGGGAGGTAAATGCAAAATTAGTTATCATGTTGTAAATTTTGCATTAACCTCCCCTAGTAAATTCAAAATTTACAACATGATATGGTTATAGTTTTATATATTATGTGTTTGACCATAAAGCTACATATCCCCTAACGCAAATTTGGTGAAATTTCGCCACAAGATTTTCTACGCACGGTTTGGAGAGACGCTAAAATCCAGCATCGGTCATAACTTTAAACCTATTTTATTACCAACCTGTGTATTATATTTACCAACCCCCCAAATGATTAAAACCGTCACCACAGACCACTAAACTTGATTGTTTCGAATTGGCCGTCCGGAAAAAATTTAGAGTTTACTGATCTGTACATGTATAAACAATTAAAAAGGATAATGAGGTGGATAAAAACAGATTTAGGACTAGAATTAGGGAGTGGAAGATAGTTCATTGAATACTCCAATACTGAAGAATGTAGAACTTCTCCCCAACAGTGCGCAAAAAACCCTAGCACTGACATGTACCTGGCCATATTTGCAAGTATGGGATCTGTAGCCTTATGGTCAAAGACTTACAAGTAAAACAACAACTCTGCAGCTCCTCAGTTAAGATAATCAAAAATGAAACAGACCCTATTTCTTCAAATCATATGTTCCGAAAATGAACAACAAACATATATATGCCCGGTATATATATATAAACTTTATAAATGTACATAAATCTTATTCAGTGATTTTGTAGATAACAAGATGACCTGAGTCTGATGATGAAAATATTATATACAAAACCGTAACCACCCCAAATGTCAAATATGAAACAGGTTTTTAACCACATTTTGTACAATTTTTATTTGAATACTTAAGGTGGAGTGTGTGCGGAATACTCGATGCATTTTATGTCCATCCGGAGCTCGGTGAGGTCTTGTCAGAATTTTTCGGAACCATGTCCAAGTAGATATAAATCTACTGAACAGTATAACTGTACGAACTGAATGATTACCGTAATACTCGAATACCTCTCTCTCTCTCTCTCTCTCTCTCTCTCTCTCTCTCAAATTAATGGTATTAAATTAATCACAGGATGAATATTGGGGGGGGGGGGTTGCTTGGATTCTTTTTACTTTTCTCAAAACATTTCCTTGCATTGTAGATACTGAGTGTTACGACATAGCTAATACAGCTAATACTGCAGTTAGTGATGGGAATCGGTAAGAATCGCATAATCGGTGATTGGCGTGGGTTAATGTAAATCACTAATTATCGATTATAATCTGACATTTTAAAAGTCTATCAATTTAAATAAGTAAATGGTAAAATTGGGTAAATGACTTCGTTCAGTGGTGAATTAGCTGCAGATCTGTATTTTGTCAGTCTTTGACCATAACGTGTCAAAGACAAATCATGAAATTAATATATACCGTAAAACCATAACGCTCAAATCTGCAGCTAGTGGTGAACCAGCTGGTCCTTCGTTAATTTTGTAGAACCCAAAGTAAGCCAATGCCCGGGAACATGCTTTGGTATCCGGGTATAACTTCAATTATTTGTTTATCTGCACAATTACGTGGCACAAATCATAAGTTAATAGCAATGTATCAGTTGTAAAATATGACATATTCTTTGATTTCCTGGACTTGTTTCTTCTTTCTGAACGGTATTTTTTTCAAGTTTGGAAAATGAAACATGTCAAAGGGCGAACTATCTGGCGAATACTGTTGGTGTGACAAAACATTAACTTTATGTTTATCCCCAAAACTCCTTTACTCTTCAGGGCGTGTGGATTTGGACGTGACTTAAAGTCAATCAAATATCATCAGTGATTATTTGTTGAATTTTGGCAAACAATACATTGGAATTGGTTCTTATAATTCCTTGTCGCCGAGGACGGGACCAATTTTGATGCCCATTAATAGTATATCATTTTTGTCCCCCGCTTTCGCGAAAGCGAGGGGACATTAAATCTCATTCGTCTGTCTGTCTGTCCGTCAGTCTGTCCGTCACAAAAACTTTAACCTTGCCCATAACTTTTGATTTAGTGGAGCTATGACTTTCATATTTCACATGTGTATTCTTTATGACAAGACCTTTCTTTGGGTACCACCAAATTTGACCTTTTGACCTTGACCTTGGAGTTTGACCCACTTTTACACAAAAATTCCAAACTTTTACTTTGGCCATAACTTTTTAATAGTAGGTACTAGGACTTTCATATTTCACATATGTATTGTTTGTGGCAAAACCTTTCATTGGATAACAACAACCTTGACCTTTTGACCTTGATTTTGGAGATTTACGTACTTATGAAAAAACTTTAACCTTGACCAAAACTTTTGAACGGTGAGGACGAAGGCTTTCGTACTTCACATATGTAATCCTTGTGAGAAGACATTTCATTGGATACCAATAACTTTTGCCCTTTGACCTTGACTTTGGAGTTTTAATTACATTTTAAAAACTTTAACCTTGGTTACAACTTTTAAACAGTAGATACTAGGACTTTTATATTTCACATATGTATTCCTTGTGGCAAGACATTTCATTGGATACCAACAACCTTGACCTTTTGACCTTGACCTTGGAGATTTATTTACTTATGAAAAAACTTTAACCTTGACCATAACTTTTGAACGGTGAGGACTAGGGCTTTTGTACTTCACATATGTGATCCTTTTGAGAAGACCTTTCATTGGATACCAATAACTTTTACCCTTTGACCTTGACATTGGAGTTTTAACTACTTTTTAAAAATAATTTAACTTTGGTCACAACTTTTGAACGGTAGATACTAGGACTTTTATATTTTACATATGTATTCTTTGTGGCAAGTCCTTTCATTGGATATCAACAACTTTGACCTTTTGACCTTGACCTTAAAGATTTATGTACTTATGAAAAAACTTTAACCTTGACCATAAATTTTGAACAGTAAGGGCTAGGGCTTTCATACTTCACATATGTAATCCTTGTGAGAAAACTTTTCATTGGATATCAACAACTTTGACCCTTTGATCTTGACCTACTTTTAAAAAACTTTTTACTTTGGCCATAACTTTTTAACGGTCAGGATTAGGGTTTTCATCCTTCAAAAAAATCAACTTCAGTGTTACTTTCTAAATAAATGACATATGATAGGATGTTCGTATTACACACAATATGTCATAAAAATAACATCTCACCCACAAAGACACCGAAAGCGGGGGACCACAATTCTTTGAATTTGCTTGTTGTTCATTGAAATCCAATTGCTCATGTGTCTATAAAACAGACATTGGTTGCTGTAAATTTCACATATTTTAATGAATATTTCTTTGGGATTCTTAGCAAGTTTTACAGCAGCTTTCATGAAGCGTTGAATTTCACTCTAGTTTACCGATTCTTTACCATTTATTTTTAATGCAGTGTCTCGAATAGCCCTTGTTTTCCAGCTTCTCACAATGAAAAGTCTCACGCATTCTCAATTTATAGTCACAAATCGATCTTGGGAAAAGTCAAAAAAATTATTGAACTGAAATTAACACTTTTATACGTCATTTGAAACATGAAAGTGTATAGTTATTAAAAATCGCAATTTGATTTACATACTTCATGCATTGTTTTGTTGGCCTCCTTCGAAATAAAAGCGGTTGGAGGGCTAATTTTACACCAAGATATTTACGTGATGTTGAAAAGCCATATTTGGAAACGAAAGACTTTTTTTTTAACTTTTTAACTTTTTTTTTTTACTTACCTGGAAAGTTGACAAGGCAAAAAAATTAATATAATACACATCAAATTTTGTTAACTATAAACATTTATGAAACGTTTAAGCACATTTGTAAAAGGGGTATACAATCTTTGATTCAATTATTAGTAAAAATAAAACAAACATAATTTTCATTTAAATGAAATTATTTTCTTTTTATTTTAACAAGTTTTAGCACATTCGATGATAAGCTTAATAATGATAATATTCCCTAAAATGCTACATTAATTGATTCTTTATTAATCTGCTCAGAGAAACGCACATTATTTAGAATATAAAAAGGTTAAATATTTCGCCATTACCTGATTACGAAGTGTTTGTTAAATATCACGTAAATATCGCACATAGATATCATACAAAAATAAAAGTATATTCGGGGGAAAAATGATTATATTATTTCAAATTATTGAATTTTATGAATTTTCTAATCTGTGTTCTTACAAAGGGTTGAATTGAAAATTCAAGTTATAAATGATTTATCTATAGAGGACTCATGTAATTCATAACACCCCCCCCCCTTCCACCATTTAATCTGTTGATTATTTCAAATGCAGTCATTCACATAGCATCGTTTTTAAAAGTGTATGTGTGTGTGTGGGGGTGGGGTGGGTAGCCAGAGAATTTTTTTTACTTACCTGGAAAGTTGACAAGGCAAAAAAAAGGGGGGGCGGGGTGAGAAAACTTGCTCAAAGTCGAAAATCCTAGAGGGGGGAGGCGAACTTTTTTCAGTGCCAACTACATTCAGTACCAATTATTACAATATATTTTCCGTACATCACTATTAGTGGGGGTGGGGGCAACCAGCTATTCACTGAACATTTACTGAAGTTGAAGTAAGGCTGGAGAAAAAAAGGGGGGGGGCAGGGTGGGACTGCTCCCCCCCCCCCCCCCCCCCCCCCTGCTTGCTACATACCAGAAATGCTTAATTGTTTGTGAAAACTTTATCGTCAAATCTCAAAAATAAAACAAAGATCGCCCACCACCCTAAAAAAGTTTGTCAAGAATTACAGTTGCACATCACTTGTGCTCTATAGAGCAATATACATTCTACGTTCATATAACGTAAATTGAATTTTCAGTACCATTAAAGCATAGACGCATACCTCCTAAGTCATATGTCTATGCAACAATGCAAATGGGAAAAATTAGAAAATTAGGTGCAAATTTTATACATGTTAATAAATGTATTTCTTGCAAAGCAGCAAAAATGGAAATGGATTCAATTTCAACCAGTATCTTGACACACAACACCCACAGCCGTCTTTCTTTTTTTACCCGATGTAGAACCCCCCCCCCCCCCCCCCCACTGCATGCAACGCAGCGCCTATTTTCTGGAATTATATTTCCTACGAAAATGATATTTTTTTCTTCAAAATATTTAGCTTGGTATACAATTCAAGTGTATATAACCATTTTTTAAAGTTGACGATCACTATCAGTTCAAACAAACAGCAAAATACAGACTTGAAGAAAGTTTTGTTTCAGATTTACGTTCCGAATGATAACGTGCATTACACTTGAAACTATACAATATTAACCAATTGCTCAAAATGGAAAGATTCAATCATTAAACCACGATTCTACTTGTGAATAATATTATGTCAATTCAATTTTCAAATCACACGGATGCACAAGATATTGAGTAAAAATGTTCACCTTTGCATGTGCACTTCCATTTGCATTTCTGCACTCTTGTTACAGAAAAAATGACATTTTAAGAAACAGTGTATATTTCTTCATGTTCTTAGTATTTACATCATAAAGATTCACTCGCAAATCTGTTCAAACAGCTTTACAAATTAATACTTATTTACTTTAAAACATGGTAACGTAAATATCGGTAACGTAAATATCTTTTTGAGATTTATCGTAACTTTTAATGCCATTGTTCAATTATTCCACTGTTAATTAAAGGCATATTCTAGTGCTTGAGTGTAAGGCAATTTGGCCCATAGGGGACAATGTAGTTCTCTTATTTAAGGCCAGATAAAATTAATCTTTAGATTCTCATCCCCGCCCGCCCCTCTCAAAGTGTCCCGCCACGGTGTTTTTTATTTTGATTTTTGAGTGTTAAATGTATTTTCATGTATTTTTTATTCAGCAAGAATTTGGAGTTTAAGAGTTATCTCCACCATGTGAAGAATGGAGAAAAATCGGCAATTAAGGCAGTTTAAATATGTAAGGAAAAGATAATTTGTCAGTATGGAGAAGGCAGAGAAGAAAAAAAAGCATAAACACATCTGGATATCATCACTGGCATGAGCAAGTTTTAGAGAGATTTTAACTACGTAAAAATAGACGAGGAAAATGACACCTGGTCAAGCTTTACTGATCTCCAGCTGTATGTGATTGTGTATTTGAAAAAAAATAATAGAACATCGCCAGCAGACTTTAGAAATAATAGTGCTAAGGAAATGTTAAATCTTAAAACTGTGCAGGCCTAAGCTTTTCAGTAGGAGATTTTATAGATTTTGCAAATTAACATTACCTACATGTATTTTAATGCCGAACATGTCAAGTCTCAAGAACGATGAAAATCTTTGAGGAAGGTGGAAATCTGTGATATTTTACACAAAACAGAAGGATTTGTCGGTAAAACTAAAAGATATTTAGGGAAAGACGATGAGAACTCATACATGCACAATTTATTAGTATCTGCACCTCATTTTCTTTGGATTGTGTCGTGTATGTGTACTTGATGATTTTTAATTAAACTATCAATATTTAATTTTTTAAAACAAAAACCATCTGTAGATATTTAAAAGAATATGAAAACAATAAAATCTATTCATATTAGCATTAATATAATGAAAAAAAAATATGTGTACGAAGAGTCCAATTGTTTTGGTGATACTTCCAATTATAAAAAATAAAAATAAAATCCGCCCACCCGCCCCAATTTTTTAGCAAATTAGGATGAGAATCTAAAGATTAATTTTATCTGGCCTAATTTGTGAATAAATACTAACACGTAAATATAGTTGAATTTTTTAACCATTGGACTTATAAGAAAAGGGGGGCTATTGTTCATAAACACAGATAAACAGTGTCTTTTTTACCTTTCCATGCAATAGAAAGGGTGCTCATGATATTAAAAAGTTACAACTTAGTCCTATTGAGTTAGTTCATCATTCCTTCCAGTCCTTTTGAATTTCCAAAGAGAAAAGTAATAATTTGCGGTGACATCAAAATTTGATAAATATATTAACACTTTTAAAAATCTGTGACACGCATATGTGTGAAGGGTGTGATATTCAGAAAATAAAACTCAAATGTAGGACAATCTTACTAAGAAAAAGATATGTTAATGATTTAAAAATTCTTTTTGGTTTAAAATAAAAACTACACGATGATCGGCGACAGTAACGTAAATATCGATTTCTGCTATAAAATGTGATTTTCTCCTAAGACAATCATTCAAGCTACAACAAACAATTGTTGTATTTTAATCAACAACCAACAAAGGTCCGTAAGACTGGCAGAAAATAAAATTTATTTGAAATATTATATTACTTAAAACGCGGTGCATTATTTAAAGCGAATTGAGACTATAAATTGAGAATGCGTGAACTATGTGATGAAAAGTGGTCACATCAACTGTTATAAATTCATTAAAGATTCAATAATGAGAGAAAGTCAAGCTTAATGTCATATGATGTCTATATTGAATGTCACAGTATTCAGGACATTATTTATTGAACAGCCCTCGTATACCGTATTTAAATGATGCCCCACTAAAGACCATACAAGGGTGATAGTTTAAAAACCAAATGCACTTTGATTTACTACACTGAAAGAAAACATCTATAGATAATTTGACTACATGTATTGTGCTTCGTAAATCGTTGTGATCAGTAAGCATTCTGTTTACTGGCTAAGATAGTGAGTGATAGGTGTTACTTGTAAATTCTAGATTTACTAACGTTATCTAATAAAATACCCAATTAGTTAAAACAACCACTTGTAGGGTAGTGGTTGTATAGACAGTTTTACCTGTCTTTTAGCGACTTTTACTGGTAATTTTTTTCAGTGCAGCAGTTAAAAGTGAACGAGTACATTACCAGCGAAGATAGAAATAGGAATAGTTTTATTTATGATATTCGATCGGTTAAATATTTTATAATTTAATTTATAAATGATATTTTTGTATTAAAAAATTCACATGTAAATTCATAAATAATACTCCTGAATAGGTGTATGTATTTTTTTCGAATTATTTTTTTGTATCGAATTATCTTTTCAGACTCTCTGCAGGGGAAATAACAGGAATTGTACTTATAGCAGTTTTAGTCTTTTTCATATGTTTGTCGATTGCATTTTTCGTCTATGTAAGAGGAAAAATGATAAAAAAGAACAAATCTTTTAAACAAGGTAAATCTATCTTTGTACAGTATTTTTTCTTGTTGCTGTTTGCAATTTTTAAAATGTCACTTATTCAGTCAATTTTTAATTTGCAGTTTCTAAGATGATTTTCATAATAAAAATTTTTAATGAAAAAAAAGAAAAGAAAATAGCGACAATATGCTACTGTCTTGCTGCGTCAAGTTATATTATTAGTAGTGATACAAGTTCAAGTGCATTGATATTTTTTTTACAAAACATAAAACACAGAGACTGATATCAATAATGTAATCGCTTAATTTTTTCCATAGTAATTGCCGCTATCCCATTCTGTTGCCAGTGTGTCTATGAAGGTATTCACATGGATATATTACTGCAAATAATTTCCAAATAACCTTACATTCAAAGATATTTTTTAAAAACTTATAGATTTATATTTGCATTTTTTATCTTTTCAAAGAATAACAGTATAAGTACTGATATATTTTATGCACATGTTTCTAAAATATGTACAGATATAAACAATACTAATATTATTAATAATATAAAAGTTAAAAGGTGAACCTCTAGGATCGCATTTTTAAATGATTAGCACATATTTTAATACATACATAAGGTGGAATATCTTAGTTATTTTGTTTACTTTTCAGGAAGTATAATGTTAAAAATACAAGACTGTAAGTATCTATCTAACCTAAACTAAATAATTAAAATTATTTTAACATGTATATGTTTCCATATTGAAAATGTGTATCAGCAATGTAGTTTGATTGTCGTTATCATTATACCCCCGCTCCGAAGGAGAGGGGGTATACTGTTTTACCCTTGTGTGTCTGTCTGTCTTTCTAGCTGTCTGTGCGTCCGTGTGTCTGTCCGTAACAAAATTTTGTCGCAGTTTTCTCAGCAACTAATCACTGTAGATGCTTGGAATTTTAACATAATCTTCTCTCAGGCATGCCATACGAAGGGATACATTTTTGTTTAAATCCGATGTCAACTTCCTGTTTGTCTGTGTGCCTGTCCATTTCATACATATATTTTCGTCGCAGTTTTCTCATCAACTACTCATCGCAGATGCATAAAATTTTTACACAATCTTCTCTGAGGCATGTCATACGGTGGGATACATTTTTGGTCAAATCCGATGTCAACTTCCTGTTTGTCTTTACGTCTGTCCGTTTCATACTTAACAAATTTTCGTCGCAGTTTTTTCGGCAACTACTCATCGCAGATGCTTGAAATTTTAACACAATCTTTTCTTATGCATGCCATATGTCACGATACATTTTTGTTAAATTCTGATGTCATCTTCCTGTTTGTCTGTGCATCTGTCCGTTTCATATATAACAAATCTTCATTGCAGTTTTCTCAGCAACTACTCATCAGAGATGCTTGAAATCTTAACACAATCTTCCCTAAGGCATGTCATATGGTGGGATACATTTTTGGTCAAATCCGATGTCAGCTTCCTGATTGTCTGTGCATCCGTCTGTTTCATACATAAAAAAATTTTGTCGCAGTTTTCTCATTAACTATTCATAGCAGATGCTTAATTTTAGTACGCTTTTTGCCGAGGCATGCCATATGATGGGATTAATTTTGATATGAATCTGATGTCAACTTCAATTTTTTCTGTGCATCTGCCTGTAATTGAACTTGTTTATATTAATATGATAGTGTTTATTTACATCAAAGCGGGGTATTACTAGTGAGCATTGGCTCACAGATTTCTTGTTTATAAACAGCTGCACACAAAACGGTATATAGATGTTTATACATAAGTTTCTAACCTTAACTATTACTGATCAAATAAGCACGATTCACATTCAATATCCTTTCATTTGGCTTTCAATCAATATAAAATTAGACATACTTTTGCTACTTTTATGTACATTTCAATGGTAGTGAGCAAAAATACATGTCTAAATTTAATGGATTGACTGATACAAAAAATCTCAAATAATCAAATTTATGTCCATGAAATAGCATGCATAAACACATTAAGAGTGCAAAAGGATCCTTTTCTCACAATTTAACACATTCTTTCGATATGAAAGGATCTTCGATCGCTTCTTTATTTTGATAGTAGCGTAAAATATACCTTTTAGCTCACCTCAACGAAGTTGGAGGAGCTTATTTGATACTGTCGGCGTCGGTGTAGGCGTCGGCGTCCCAGGTTAAGGTTAAGTTTTTTGGAGCAGTTTTCTTTTTGAGTACTTCTATGTCCTATATTGATTAGACATGCTTGGAAGATGCTTTTAGTGTGTTTCATTGTACCAGTCAGTTTCAGATGCTGCATATTTCAGCAAAGGAATGACCAGGTTAATGTTTTTGGAGCAGGTTAACATTTTTGGTGCAGTGTTTGGTGTAGGTCTCATTTCCAAGTAACTATAAGCCTTATGTTGACCAAACTTGCATGGATGATACATCTAAGGATGCATACTACCAGACTTGCTTCGGATGCTGAATTTGACCTACATTTCCAGTTGAGCGAACAGGTTAAAGTTCCAAAATACTATGAACCCTATAATGACCAAACTTCCATGAATGGTACATCATAGGATGCATACTACCAGACTTGCATCGGACGCTGAATTTGACCTACATTTTCCAGATGAGTGAACAGATTGAAATTTTGGTACAGGTTTCATTTCCAAGTTACTATGAGCCCTATAATGACTAAACTTGCACGGATGATACATCTTACGATGCATACTACCAGACTTGCTTCGGGTGCTGAATCTAACCTACATTTTCTGGATGACTGAAAAGGGTAGTTTTTTATGCAGGTTTCATTAAATTTTTCCAAGTAACTATGAGCCCCATGTTAAACAACTTGCATGAATGATACATATTAGGATGTATACTAAATTAATGAACTTGCTTTGAATGTTGAATTCGATATACTGTACATTTCCCAGATAATGGACCAGGTAAAAGTTATGGGTGCAGGTCTTTTACCAAGAAACTATAAGGCTTATAAAAACCAAACTTGCACAGATGATGCATCAAGGAAATAAAACTCTAAAACTTGTTTCAGATGCTGCATTTTAATTACGTTTCAATGATGAAGAACAAGTTTGAAGTTTTTATGTAGGTCTATTCCAAAATATCAGATCAAAATTGCATAAATTTTGCATTTTTGGATGTACATTTTTTGTTCGTTAATTGTGTGACTTTAAACAAGCATGTACCAAAACCCACTCTATCTCAAATGTAGACTTGTATGACACGACATTTGCATCTCTCCGAAAAATACATAAAAAATCCATATTTAGTCAAGAGTCATATTACCAACATTACCAACATGACTTAAATGCCACTATTCATGAGGAGTTGTGTAGCACAGTGTTTACTGGGTATTATATTTGTCTAAAACTAGAGCAATGAGCTCACTAAAACTGTAAAACTGTGAGCAATGAGCTCACTAAATGATACCCCCCAGCCTCCTATATGATAATAATGGTAGTGTCTATGTTTTGCTGTGGGAAATCCAAAATATGTGTCGGATCAAAAAGTAAAATAGGAGGTGCACAATGGCATTATGTAATAAAGATTCTGTGAAAGTTTCATCAAATTTCATTCAGTGGTATGAGATGAGTTGCAGGTAAGAGATGGGTACTCCAAAGCGTAACAAACAGACGGACGGACGGACATAACGATTACTATAGACCCTCCCGCTTTTCAAACGGGGGGTATAATAACTACATAAAACTTAATATAGTATATCAGGACGTGGAAGAACAAGGCGTGCAGATGCATGTGTTTTGTCCCACAGCAATACATGGACACTGCCATTATATTCATTCGAATGCGGGGGTATCATTTAGTGAGCTCATTGCTCACAGTACCTCTAGTTGTACTTATTATTATTATCAAATATTGGTTATAAATCAATATTGACTGGTTCACTTTTCTTAACCTAAAATGAATAATAATTGCTTTGATTTAAAGTGCATCTGTAGATCATATTCACAATTACAGGGTTTTGTGATGTTGCTCCTCTTCACAAACCCCGGGCTAAAGTCGTTATTTAAAAGCTGGGCTCTACTTACAAAGTTTCATTAAAAGCTAACCAAATTGTTTTAAAGTCTCAAAGCGTGATTGTGAGAAGAAGTATCTTCCAAAAATTATTTTCCATTAATTTATTTGATGCAAATAATCACAAATCCTATAATATTCTCACTTTCCATTTTAAAGACGAGTCATTTTTTATTTATCTTCTATAAAGTCTGTTTGCTGATTGTTTCAGTCCTAAGCCGGGAACAAACGAATATGTAATTTTCTAAACTGACTTTAAAATAGTGATTTTTGTCAGAGGTTTGTGAAAATGAACAATACTACAAAACCTTGACCTTTTGAAGATGTGTGTAGATAAGTTGAAAATGCACAAGTATAAATTTGTATATTTCAGTTATGGACAAACGATATGGAAGGGGTATGTATAAATATATGTTCGTTAATAAATTGAAAATTTAATTTTGCATGCAGTGGTTAAATCTATGTTCTGTTTTTGTCGTAATAAAAGTGACATTTTTGAGAGTTCTTTTCATTTAATGAATATTTACAATCATCCCAGTACATATATTGATTTTAGATCTTATTTGCTCCTTTTCTTAATTATACATAAAATAAAAAAAAAATTTGTAGGAAATTTGCCTAATTTTGAAAAATTCAAGTCACGCGGGTTAAAAGGATTAGGCAATTCGTTTGTTTCGGTCTGAAAGAATCAAGATAAAATAATATAAATAAAATGTTTATTTTATTTTATGTTTATTAAATGTTTATTTTTAAGTAGTTATAGTTTTGACATTTCAAATGGTTTTGAATATCACTTTAGTTGATGTTTGCGATCCTGACAGTCAATCAACTTTAGCAGTTACGCCAAATGCAACGTCGTCAGTCCCATTGCTTTCGAGTATTGGAAATGGCAAAGAAAATAAAACAACTGATTCACAGGAAAATTGCGAGAAACAAGTTCTAAAAAATGAAGACGAATGTGACGTTTCATTGCATATCAACACACAACAACATAAAACAAGCTTCCTTCAAAATCAACCAGCCACCTCTTGGATGACAACAACAGCCCAACTATTAGAACTGAAGTCAGGTGTACATCCCTCCATTGAACATTTTATCCCACCTTCTACTTCTGATGCTCAAAACTTTAATTCATCTTCTGCATCACCACTTGTCGTCTCGTTGCAGCCTGATCAACAGTCAGGAGCTGGTTCATCCGTTTCTGGTCAATCATATAATAAACCTTTAAAGTCTCCACATTTTCAACAAATACACCAAAACACTCGGAAAACTGACCAATTAGTTTCGTCTGTTTGCTCATCAAATTCATTATCTAATCCTGTCTCGCAGCAAAACTCATCCTCTACCTCAGCATTAGATCAACCACAGGATACATCCTACAATACATTACAAAGTGAACCAGTAGACCGATCTATTTCCTTTTCAGAGGTTGAAAAATCACCTTTATTTCATTCAGATAAAGACCCATCTGATTCCTTCGAAAATCATTCTCTAGATTTTACTCCTGTCAGTGTTCCCACAGATCCATCTGAAAAATCGCCCTATGATTCACAAAATTCTTCAACTGAGCAATCTCCTGAGGGGACCAAAACTACTTCATCGTTATCGAGCAGCACTCTTCATGGAAGCGGTGACTCAGAAACTCCTCGAAAGAAATGTGTTTTAGCTGTACCTCCAGAAGGCTCCGAAGCATCAGATGAATTAGTATCTACAGACCAAACTGGACTGCAACCCGAACACAGTAAGTCTGGAAAAAGACAGTTGGCAGTTGTTAATCCTCAAAAGAGACGACCTGAGCTGTCTACAAGTGAGGGAGCAGAAGGTGGAGTGTTAACTGACCAAATGCATGGAGATAATACAGGTAGATGGCGTGACTAACAGAACACACTATAGTTAGCTACATGTGTAGTTATCCAAATGAAATACTTAGTATATGGAGATAACGAACAGTATTCAATCTCAAAAGTCCATTAAACAGTCTAGAGTACATTTCTTAGGTCACCTGAGTCACTCAGGTGACCTTTTGCTATCTGTTTTCATCCGTCAACGTACGGTCGTTCGTCGGTCGTCAACTTTTGAACATTTTTAGCTTCTTCTCTGGAACTACTGAACCAATTTCCGCTAAATTTAGTATACAGTATCTATGGGTGAAGAGGAACAAAAATGGTTAATTTAATGGTCCCTGCTCCGGTGGGGCCGGAGGGGTGGGGCTAAACCACCAAAATTAATGCAATCTTTAAAAATCTTCCTCTTCACTCTTGGACATCAAGCAGTCTTGAAAACTGTTGTCTTGATTGTAATGAGCTCTAAGCCCTGTACCAAAATTATGAAATTATTGGTCCAAGGATCAGGGCGTCTGGTGTTAGAGCGGGGCTCTATTGATTATATAGTGAAAATACGTTAATCATTTGAAAATCTTCTCCTATGCTCCTGGGTACTAAACAAACTAACTCTGTACATAAAGTTATAATGAACATGGTCAGGGGTTCTGGTGTTAGGGCGGGGCTCTATTGATTATATATTGAAAATGCATTAATTCTTCTCCTCTGTTCCTGGGTATTAAATAAACTAACTTAGTATATAGTTATAATGAAAAAGAGTGCTTCTTTCAAAATTGTGAATTTCATGGTCCCAGGGTCAGGGGTTCTGTTGTAAGGGGGGGGGGGGGGGGGGCTCTATTGGTAATATACTGAAAATGCATCAATTCTTTGAAAATCTTCTTCTCTGCTCCTGGGTATTAAATAAACTGACTAAGCACATAGTTATAATGAGCAAGAGTGCCTCTTCCAGAGTTGTGAATTTCACGGCCCCTGGGTAAGGGGTTCTGGTGTTAGTGCGCGGCTATATTAATTATGTAGTGAAAATGCATTTATTCTGTTAATCATTTCTAATCCTTAGTGTTGACCAGGTAGAAAAAGTGCATATTTCTGATGAATAGGGCTTCCTCTTAAAAAATCTTTAAAACTTCGTGGTCCCAGGGTGAGGGGCTTTTGTTTCTCATTGGGGGGTGGGTCTATTGATAATATCTATTAGTGAAAATGTATTAATTCTTTGAAAAGTTCCAACTAAGTGCAGAACTTAGTGAAGAGCTACATGTATTATGATGAGGTTAACTCATTCAAATTTTTGAAATTCATGATTGGTTTGGGTGTTAAGATAGGGATGTGTTGATTCTGTAGTAAATATGCATTATTTCTTTGAAAATCTTCCCTGCTCCTTCGCATATAAAAAGCAAACAATGTAAATGTTTTAATAAGCAAGGATATTTTTACCAGATTTTTAACCATCTAGACCATTTGGTCAAGTGTTCTGGTCCTGGCCAGGGCTCTATAAATTTGTATTTTACCAAGAAAAGTTATTCGCCTTTACAATGTACAATTCACTTTTTGATAATTTATCACTGTAAATAATGTACTATAATTTCAATAACAATCACTTTGCTTGATCGACCAAAGTAAAGTTGCACAAATTAATTACCATATTATTCATCGATTGGATGTTTGATTTGAATGTAAGCAGTGCTACTTTGCTACACAGAATCAAACAATACCCCGATAACACTGGCCAGTCGTACTGAATGATTGTTTACCAGTGCGGCATTTGTAGTCACCAGCAACACGTTGTCAGTCAAAGCCCGTTTTCTGTCCTCAAAAAAAGTACGTGTCACATTTGTTGTGATTTGACCGGCTGGAGTTATTTATATATGTATGAGAAAATTTAAAACATGAAATAAATAAGGATATACTCTAAAACTATTACAGAAGGCTCCGAAGCATCAGATGAATTAGTATCTACAGACCAAACTGGACTGCAACCCGAACACAGTAAGTCTGGAAAAAGACAGTTGGCAGTTGTTAATCCTCAAAAGAGACGACCTGAGCTGTCTACAAGTGAGGGAGCAGAAGGTGGAGTGTTAACTGACCAAATGCATGGAGATAATACAGGTAGATGGCGTGACTAACAGAACACACTATAGTTAGCTACATGTGTAGTTATCCAAATGAAATACTTAGTATATGGAGATAACGAACAGTATTCAATCTCAAAAGTCCATTAAACAGTCTAGAGTACATTTCTTAGGTCACCTGAGTCACTCAGGTGACCTTTTGCTATCTGTTTTCATCCGTCAACGTACGGTCGTTCGTCGGTCGTCAACTTTTGAACATTTTTAGCTTCTTCTCTGGAACTACTGAACCAATTTCCGCTAAATTTAGTATACAGTATCTATGGGTGAAGAGGAACAAAAATGGTTAATTTAATGGTCCCTGCTCCGGTGGGGCCGGAGGGGTGGGGCTAAACCACCAAAATTAATGCAATCTTTAAAAATCTTCTTCTTCACTCTTGGACATCAAGCAGTCTTGAAAACTGTTGTCTTGATTGTAATGAGCTCTAAGCCCTGTACCAAAATTATGAAATTATTGGTCCAAGGATCAGGGCGTCTGGTGTTAGAGCGGGGCTCTATTGATTATATAGTGAAAATACGTTAATCATTTGAAAATCTTCTCCTATGCTCCTGGGTACTAAACAAACTAACTCTGTACATAAAGTTATAATGAACATGGTCAGGGGTTCTGGTGTTAGGGCGGGGCTCTATTGATTATATATTGAAAATGCATTAATTCTTCTCCTCTGTTCCTGGGTATTAAATAAACTAACTTAGTATATAGTTATAATGAAAAAGAGTGCTTCTTTCAAAATTGTGAATTTCATGGTCCCAGGGTCAGGGGTTCTGTTGTAAGGGGGGGGGGGGGGGGCTCTATTGGTAATATACTGAAAATGCATCAATTCTTTGAAAATCTTCTTCTCTGCTCCTGGGTATTAAATAAACTGACTAAGCACATAGTTATAATGAGCAAGAGTGCCTCTTCCAGAGTTGTGAATTTCACGGCCCCTGGGTAAGGGGTTCTGGTGTTAGTGCGCGGCTATATTAATTATGTAGTGAAAATGCATTTATTCTGTTAATCATTTCTAATCCTTAGTGTTGACCAGGTAGAAAAAGTGCATATTTCTGATGAATAGGGCTTCCTCTTAAAAAATCTTTAAAACTTCGTGGTCCCAGGGTGAGGGGCTTTTGTTTCTCATTGGGGGGTGGGTCTATTGATAATATCTATTAGTGAAAATGTATTAATTCTTTGAAAAGTTCCAACTAAGTGCAGAACTTAGTGAAGAGCTACATGTATTATGATGAGGTTAACTCATTCAAATTTTTGAAATTCATGATTGGTTTGGGTGTTAAGATAGGGATGTGTTGATTCTGTAGTAAATATGCATTATTTCTTTGAAAATCTTCCCTGCTCCTTCGCATATAAAAAGCAAACAATGTAAATGTTTTAATAAGCAAGGATATTTTTACCAGATTTTTAACCATCTAGACCATTTGGTCAAGTGTTCTGGTCCTGGCCAGGGCTCTATAAATTTGTATTTTACCAAGAAAAGTTATTCGCCTTTACAATGTACAATTCACTTTTTGATAATTTATCACTGTAAATAATGTACTATAATTTCAATAACAATCACTTTGCTTGATCGACCAAAGTAAAGTTGCACAAATTAATTACCATATTATTCATCGATTGGATGTTTGATTTGAATGTAAGCAGTGCTACTTTGCTACACAGAATCAAACAATACCCCGATAACACTGGCCAGTCGTACTGAATGATTGTTTACCAGTGCGGCATTTGTAGTCACCAGCAACACGTTGTCAGTCAAAGCCCGTTTTCTGTCCTCAAAAAAAGTACGTGTCACATTTGTTGTGATTTGACCGGCTGGAGTTATTTATATATGTATGAGAAAATTTAAAACATGAAATAAATAAGGATATACTCTAAAACTATTACATTTATACTATGTATATTGAGGGTAATATTATATTATATATATAGCATTATAAGGATTAAAACTTGCTTTGCCTGTCTACATGTGGTTATTGTTAATTCTACCTCGATTATTGCCGAGATCAAAGAGATGCCGCGGACATTATTCTCCAATAAATTATGAACGTCATCAAAAAAATTATCAGATCAGAAACACGTATCAAACCTGAACAATTCAAATGCATGTTTGACTATAGAATGAAATACTTCTTTCGACCACATCAATGTGTCGTCTTTTGCATTATAAACACTGTAAATTGCATAAAGTTGCTGATGAATGTCGGTTTTTATAGCTAAGCGGGGCTATTCCACGGACCTCCCTACACATTTAAACAACGTGATTTTAGTCCCAATAAAGCAGTAAAACAGGAACATGATTTTGTTATTGTATATTCATTAAAAGTAATCAATACATATTACGAACAAATTAGTAATTCAAAAAGGCTATTTTTAATGCAACGAAAGCTCAAATCGGCTGCATTCTACACAGGTAAGCAAACAAAGAATGAATCCTTTAAACGTCCACATTTGGCCCCCCGATAGTTTACAAAAAATAAGTTTGAAGATTTCCTACATATTTTTGTCTCAATCTTTCCATCAAACATTGTAGTTTATTAATTTCATTTTCAATTTTCACTTCCTTGCACTGTAATTGGGTATTTATCTGATTAATATAGCAGGGGTACGTTGTTTACATCGATTTCTCATAGACATTAGGCCACACCCCCATTTTGCAAGCCTATTTTTTATATGAGCGCATAGATGTTTCAAGTTGTAGTAAATAGGGTCAATGTAAAGAGTTAAACTTGTCATTTTAATTCATGAAAGAAATTGAAACAGTCGTGCGCTCACATGTTATTTTCTAAAAAGGTGCAAAATCACGGGTACCTGTCCCTATAGTAAAGGCACCTTGTTTACAAATTTCAACCCGCCTTTGACCTCATGAATAACAAAGCATTGAACACGTGACTCAAATCTATTCACTTTCATGCTTTGAGCAGATCAATGCGACATGGTGTCCAGTGTTGCGAGCTATCGATGGTCAAATCATTTTCAAATGGGTAATGTACCCTGGGATAATTTTTTTATACCAGTATATTTAAGATGTGTTAACATTTTTGATTTACTTGTTATAAAACGAAATTTCAGTCGATTATGTTTGATTTGTTTTCGGTATATATAAATATATTTTGGAGGCTTGTAGTACAAACCTAGCACTTACTACTTGTATCTCATTAATACAGAATTTTAAAAAAATACTGTGGATATATATATTATAAATTTTTCTTTGTTCCTAAGTATACATTGTATGTAGTCTATGTACATCACATTGGACAATGGGACGTTAAAAAGACCTATATCTCGGATGAAAAGTCACTAGACGAATATATTGCACAAAATGCACCCCTAATATTGAAGAGAGGGAAACTCCGGATTTCTTCTGACGACACTACAAATGTTATAACATTTTGCATCGGCACAAAATCTAACAACAATTAAAGATTTGAATATAATTATTAGTTAGAAAATCGAATGAAAAGGGGCGTAAAAAATTATTTGAAATGATTTATTATTTATTTCAGAACAGGACGAGAGTTTGTAAAAATCAGAATGTACACGAGTGGATTTCTACAAAATTAATAATAATCACTTTCTTGCGATTTTATTCTTTATGCACAAAAAAAAATCAAACTTTTATACATAATGTTTTATATCATAATTCAACCATTTTTGTTGTAGCACACGAATTTCGCAAATTTGTATATGTATTTACTATGAAATAATTATTTACGAAACAGTAATAAGCTTTAATGGATTATTTGTAAGCCTTAGTGGATTAATTATCATCGCTATAAAAATAATGTTTTAAAGTATGAAAAAGTGTATCCTGCGTTATACGCTCTATTCATAAAATCCATTGTGTATTTTTAATTTTTTATATATAAATAATTTGACGAATTTCTAATAAATCATTTCAAATGTAACTTGTAAGTTAAGCAGAAAAAACAAAGTTAAGCCTGACAAATAAAAAAAAGATGCTTATATTTGGTCGGTCTCTAGCAATAAGAAAAGAGGGGATTTAGGTGTCACTTAATTATAAAACTTCGTACACTTCGAACACACGCTAATGTATTCACACTAATCGCACGCTTGATAGACGCCCCGCCTTCTCATTCAAATACTAGTACTGCAATGACCTACATAGCCGTAATGGCGAAGTTTTACAGTGAAATATGCGACTTTCTTTAATCGATATCATGTATATATTGAAAGCCTTTTTCCTAAAAAAATCCTGAATAAGTATCTACATAGACTATACTTGAAGACTTTAGCTATAAGATAACAATGTTGTGATTAAAACGGTAAAATTCTGCATTTAAAAAGAGGCGAGATTGCAGCGTTAAGAAGATTCATTCTTTTCCCTCTGTTGTTAAATGGAACAGTGTAATCGAGACATGGTGACCTAATTCAATCTTCTATAACGGAAACGATCAGCCGTATTTTAGCGATTTTAGCAGACATGGTAGAATAGAAAGAAAGTCTTCATGAGTGTCGTGAATAATGCAGGATAACCTCCTCGGTCTCAAAACTGACAAATCAGCTGAATGAGAATTGCATCATACGTTACTACGAATACTACAGGAATTTTACGCTTGATAAATTCCTTTATTGTACTATTGCGGTGAATACAATTGTCAGGTAGATTCCCTGACCAACACACCTGATCACGAGTGTAAACAAAGATTTTTCCATTTAAATGCATACGAGAAGCCGCTCGTTTTCCTTACCCTTGAAGTGCTGGTGTTCGGAACTTGATACTAACTACGTATAAATTTTATTAAACATATTTTTCTATAGTTACAACAAATTAAAAACGCCTGTGATATATCTCATAGTTTCTAATGTTTGCATTTTTTCATAAGAACATTTTTTTTATTCTGCACTAAATTGACATATCATGATGATCAAAGATTGACCTGAACCACGTGTTCGAAGTAACATGTAAACATGTATTTAGCGTAAATGTATTCAATCAACAATAGGTTAGTTGCTCGTGGTAAGATCCTCTGTGCGCATTAATAACATTAGCCATATAAGGCAAACAAAGGTTTGTCAGTGTAGATGATATTACACTTATTTACCAGCGTATCGGTTGCTAGTGAGCTGTAATTTTTGCAGTAAACTATGATAAAATGTATTAATTGTTATTTACCCACCCCCCTTTAGCCACCCATTTCTGTTGCAAATCATGAAAGTCTTTCAGAAAGGTTTGGAATCAAATTTTTCACGGGACATGTTTTCAGAAGAAACAGACTATAGCAATTTCCTGTTTACTGCCAATTTTATTTATAAAACCAGTTATACCCTATAACCTTTGAATAGGTAAACCTTAACCACGTGTCTTGAATTTAAATCACAATAACATTAGTAGGGGTGCCATTGGTCAGTATATTTTAGTGGTATTGAGAGAGTTCCGTATTTCATAAACAAAGTAGTATTGCTTTCATGGAAATCAACCATCCAATCGATGAGTAATATGGTAATCAATATGTGAAGCTTTGGCACGCTCGGTTAAGCAAAGTGACGCTGTTATTGGTAGTATTTTGAAATGTTTATAGAATAAGAAAATTAGGCACAAAATTTTATTGTATAAAACAAAAACTACTTTCATAGTTTTAATGATCAGATAGATTGTAAATAATAGATAAATAAAAATGAGACAAAAATAACTTATTAAAATATTCTTCAAAGACCAAGAGAGGCCAATGTGAGAAATTGCATTTTAGGGTTAACAAGCTAATTCAGAGAATTCGTGTCCCCCGCTTAGGGAAAAAGTCGAATCCCCCTGACTGAATTTGTAGAATTATTAAATGTATACATGTATACTGAAGCAAATAAAATACATGTATGTCAATATGCATATAAAGATTTGATTGCTTATTCTTTATTATGTGTAGAAGATTCTTTTATATGGAATATTGTCACACTGTAATGATGATTTTATAACCTCATAAATTTTTCATTTCACTTGCTGAATACTATCATTTAGTAAAAAAAAGAAAAAGTATTTTAAAAAAAAAAGGGGGGGGATCGTCCGAAATTCGATCCCAGGACCTCTCACATGTGAAGCGAGAGACATACCTCTAGACCACAGAATCGCTTTTTATGCAGGCAAGTATATACAGAACTAAAGTCACATAAATGTATATATTCATGTTCGGTATTCTCAAAATTTTACACAATCCATGGTGTTTGATTTATTTAGCCTTTATTAAACAGTTCTAATAGATGTAATAAGAACATAAAGTCCACTGAGAATCTGTTTTATACGCAACAACTCTCCTCATGCCCCTGTGTTAAAAATGGCGCCATGTAATAATATAAATACTAATAAAACAAAGGGGGCGGGGCACTTTGAGAGGGGTGAGAGGTCCTAGGGAGTTTTGGTCTAAAATTACATTGCATAAGCTCAAAATCTTCTTGAAATATCGCCTGGAAATGATAGTGTTGCACACAGACAGAATGTTTAAATTTACAACCTTGAACTTTGACCTTTTGACCTCAAAATCAATAGGGGTCTTCATTAAGCCACAGGGAGTTGTTATGTAAAATTGAAATGGAATAGCTCACATGGTTCTAGAGATATCGTGTGGAAACGAAAGTGTTATAACAGACAAAATTTGCTTATTTATGACCTTGACCTTTGATCTTTTGACCTCAAAATCAATAGGGTTCTTCTTTATTCCATTGGGAGTTGCTAAGCTAAATTTCATTGCAAAAGCTCAAAGGGTTTTCGAGATATCGTGTGGAAACGAAAGCGTTACAGACAGACAGAAAGACGGACGGACAGACGGACGGACGGACGGACAAACCCAAATTAATATCCCCCACTTTTCAAGCGGGGGACAAAAAAAGTACGGAAAGACTAATTGTTTTTTGTTAATTTCATTCTTCAACAATGTTTGCTATACACGGAATACCTTTATAGTCTTGGTGATAGTGATAAATGGGGACTGATTCGAACTTAATTTATGAGTTGTTACTTAATATTAGACTAATTATTTCATTGACCTGATCATCCTTTTTCTTTTGTTTTGGGGAAACAAAGCTTCATCTATCAGTTTTTATTCTATATTCTATGGATCCTCTAAGTTGTGATATAATACTCAGTGACCGCTTGGACCCTTGGGCCTCTTGTGTATTATTTTTATTAGCTTTAAGTTAGAGTTGAGCCGAAATCAGAGATCTAAATTTTACTTAATTTAACCCCCCAAAAAACTCTTCAGAAAACGACCAGACCATATTGATATTGAAAAGTCCCAACTCCTTTGGATCTAGACTTTGGTTCATAAGGGTGTCATAATATTTATGAAATTAAAGAGAATATTTTTTTTTTCTGCCAGAGTAATAGAACATAATAGATATGGCCCATGGCCTTCTTAGCTTAATTCCTAACAAGTATACACAAACAAATTTACAAAAGAATTTCTTTTTATTTTACAAAGATATTTTCGATAGCAAAGCTGCAACAATTAACTAGTCGCAGCTTTGCTGCGAAAAAATATAAATAGTTTCCTATGTATACACCTTTTAACTCCGTTTCTGATTCAGCCATACATGTAGCTCCTAAGCTTAAGGTTATTTTTGTAGAACTAAAAGATCAAATATAAATCCAACAGAAAAATATATTAGGGATTGGAGTAATGTAATCTTGCTGTTCTATCGACAAATGAAATTTTTAAGATCTAAAACACAGCCTGGAAAGTTTTTAAATTTTCATCAATATATATAACTTTGTATACGTATTATATATGTAATCAACTGATATATTGATGCCATCTTTTTTCTTTAGTGCCAAGTAGAACAACAAGACCCTCAGGATTTCAAGGTAAATATATTTCAGCAATACTAAAAACAATGTGCACACGAGAATTACGTAAAACATGGGAGTAAACATCAAACACAAGATCCATAACAAATGTTGCAATATTCGATCTTTTCAAATGGTATTAAATGTTTCCATTTAAATTGTATAATTCAAATCATATGATTTTTATTAGCTCACCTGAGCCGATGGCTCAAGTGAGCTTTTCTGATCACATTTTGTCCGGCGTCCGTCTATCTGTCTGTCCGTCTGTAAACTTAAGAATAACGAAGCCATAATTGATCATATTTATATGGAAGCATCCTTAGGTAGTGTAGATTCAAATTGTTCAAATCATGACCCCCGGGGGTAGGGCGGGGCCACAATGGCCGATCAAATTTTTACATAGAAATTTATAGGAAATTTTATTTATAAATCTTTTTCTCAAGAATTGCAGAACCATTATTGATCATATTTATATGGAAGCATCCTCAGGTTGTGTAGATTCATGTTTGTTCAAATCATGACCCCCGGGGGTAGCTCGGGTCACAGTGACCGACCAAAGTTTTACATAGAAATATATAGGAAAATTCTTAAAAAATCTTCTTATGAAGAATAGCAAAGGCATAATTGATCATATATATATATATATATATATATATATATATATATATATATATATATATATATATATATATATATATATATATATATATAGGCATCCTCAGGTTGTGTAGATTCATGTTTGTTCAAATCATGACCCCTGGGGGTAGGGCGGGGCCAAAATGGCTGATCAAAGTTTTACATAGAAATATGCAGGAAAGTTCTTAAAAAATCTTCTTCTCAAGAATAGCAAAGCCATAATTAATCATATTTATTTGGAAGCATCCCCAGGTAGTGTAGATTCAAGTTCGTTCAAATCATGACTTCTGGGGGTAGGGCGGGGCCACAATGCCGAGCAAAGTTTTACATAGAAATATATAGGAATTTTTTTTAAAAATCTTCTTCTAAAGAATTGCAAAGCCATAATTGATCATTTTCCTATGGAAGCATCCTCGTGTTGTGTAGATTCAAGTTTGTTCAAATCATGACCCCTGGGGGTAGGGCGGGGCCACAATGGCCGATCAAAGTTTTACATAGACATATTATATATAGGAAAATTCTTTAAAAATCATCTTCTCAAGAATAGAAAAGTAGCAAAGCCATGATTGGTCAATGGACTACTTTTGGATTTAAACTTTTCAATAATAAACTAATTTCTACTTTTTCCTAGCCACAGTGCACAGGGGAGCGATGTGGTCCATGGGCCTCTTGTTGTTTTGTAAAATTGTTCATTATATTTTGTAATTTTTATTACACAATAATATTCTGTTTGAATGTTAAACACCCATCTGCATTGTATACATGTAATTTCCCTTTATATGTATAATTTTCTACTTGTATTCTCTGTATACTACAAGTTTCTCAGTATTTATATTTTCTGTATTATACAATACAAATGAGAAATTACAGAAAACAAATGGAAAGAATACGTAATACAAACGAAAAATAATGCAATACTAATGAAAAAGTCTACAATACAAATGGAAAGTTATAGTTATACAAACCAAAAAATTTCTTAACATTTAAAAAAAAATATGATTCAGATAAAAAGTAAAGAATACAAATGGAGAATTGTACAATACAAAGAGAAAAAGATACAATACTAACGAAAAATTGTACAAAACAATTGGAGCATTTTTTCATCATGTCTTAGAATAAGTACCATGCAACTTCTGATCTTAATCTCTACCATTTGGAAACATCTAGCACAACCTGGATGATTTCATATTTTTGTAAATTGTAAGATCTCATATATAATATTGTATCTAATCCTTTGGGTAATTTGTGCGAGGGGGTAGCAGCTTAAGGTACATCAATGAGTTTTAAACATTTAGTGAGCAGCTTTATAAAAAACTATAAATCATAAGTTTTATTTTTAATAAATTCTCACACACATCCTTGCACACACCCTCCCTCACACATGCAGACACGCCTTGACTCGCACAGATCCAGTCATCCAGCTAAAAAATAACATAACAAATGATTGTATTAATATCATACAGATTAAAGAATATTTATCAAGATGAAATGTACCTAAAACGTCTTGTAAACCTGATATATTATTATACATAATTAGTAATTTTGAAGTTCGTTCGACACGATAACTCCGAACTTCCAAGTAAAAGAATCTTTAGCTCAAACGGTACACCAAGCTCATGATAGTTTTCTCTTAGTTTGTTTCTTTTGTTCGGTATGCTGGACAATTCATAAAATAGTGTCCATCATTTTCATTATTGTAATAAGACATAGGACAATATGAATCAGCTATGATATATATATAGAGGATATCTTTATTGTGTGATTTGATATTGGCTTTATCCAACGAGTTGAAATGGTGTATATATATTCGCGAGGCTTGCCGAGCGAATATTCATCATTTAAACGAGTTGGATAAAGCCAATATCAAATCACACAATTATAGATCTTCTATTTATCTCAAACGACTTTCGTTTTAACAAAACTTTGAGACTTCCCCTGTGAAACTACATAAATGATTGCTAAATCAAATTCATGACGTATAACTTGATGACATACATTGTAGTACCGTTGATGTTGACATGCCTCGAAAGAAAGTAGATCAAAATTTAGAATTTTTGCTATCTGCGTCTTTGAAAACATTATGTGACAATTGCTGGAGCTTTATATCAAGCGAACCTCTGACTGAAAGTTGTAAGGACCAAGGGATCTTGAAAATTAACTCTTTGTACGATGGCAGTACAAAACGTGCTTGGCAAGGCCAAGCTAATCTATGGTAATTAAGTTACACCTACATTACTAGGTAGGCATGCGTAGTATAATATAAGAAAACATTGTGGAAGATGTTAAAGGAATCTTATTAGAACAACTTAACTGCTAGGTTTTACTTTCTCCGAAAACGATTTAAAGGTGGGGTTTGTATGTGTGTGTGTGTGTGGGGGGGGGGGGGGGGGGGGGGGGGGTTAACATCCGTCTTCAAGTAGCCAATACAGGTATCTTGATAAAATAAGAAACTTCTTTGACATATACGAGTCTTTTTCTTGCTTTTAACAATATTATTGCTCTTTATCATTCATTTTATAAGGGCAGGAATTTTTACAAATAAAAGTTTCAATAAAATAAAATCTTTAAGCGAGAGATCGTGTCAAAACCGGACGTGCTGTTGATTGATTGATTGATTGATTGTATATTGTTTAACGTCCCTCTAGAGAATTTTTCACTCATATGAAGACGTCACCGTATGCCGGTGAAGGGCTTCAAATTTTGACCTTTACTCGGCACTCAGGGCCATTGAGCAGTGAGGGATCTTTATCGTGCCAACGCCTGCCGCTGACACGGGGCCTCGGTTTTTAAGGTCTCATCCGAAGGACCCGCAACTTTCACTTCAAAGTGCCGAGCGCATGGCGAAGGAACAGTTGCTACCCATTTTAACGACTAGGTCAGTCGTGGACGAGATACGAACTCACGACCTCCCGATCACGGAGCGAAGTGCTATTGATAAAGCATCTACCCGTTGATAAAGTATAGCTTAGCTTTATCCAACGGGTTCTATCATCTACACGTATGAGATAAAATGATTTTAAATATGCATTAAGGTTATTAGCTTTATTACGTAGTTGAAAGTAAAGTATATTCTCTTTTCTGTTACTCACTTGGTACACAATTGGTACATAAAATTTGCGAATTTTATCGTAAATTCTATATGAGATACCTAGAAAAAAATTATGGTTCAGTTAGTTCATTTTATTCACCCAAACCAAGATTGGTACATGGGGTTCAAATAACATATATACAATATATACAAACTGGTCAGATTTCTATATGACAAAAGGATGACATGTGAATAAAATAGGTAAGAGTTCGATAAAATGAGAGGGAAAATATATCAAGGAGGAGAGACAGCCTCGTGAATTAAACATGCATAACTGTTCCAACATTTTCTCGATTTTGGTTGACATTAGTTCCATAAATTTGATAACATTTGGTCTGTGTGAATAATAACCCAGGTAATTTTTCTAATATCAGCTAAGGTTTTACATTCTAATAAATAGTGAAATTCGTCAGCAGTTTGAGTACTGTTACAAAGTTTATATATTCTATCACACAGCGGTATACCATGCCATCTTCCAGTCTCTACTGGTTAATAATTTGCAGTACGTAATTTTATAAATATTTTTCTGAATTTAGGAGAATTATCAATATAATGTTCTAATTCAAAGTTTTGTTTAAAGATTTTGTAGATCTGTCCTTTTGAAGAGTTATTTACGTCACTAGACCACTTTTGAATAAATTGATCTTGTAATATTTGTTTTACAGTGGCATGTATCCATTTACAATTCATATTGACAGCCTGTTCGTACCATACATTTGATAAACCACACATATTACGTATTTTCTGTATACAATCTAACCATGGGTTTGTTAAGTTTCCATCACAATACTGTTTAAACATATGCTGGTATAAAACATTTACAATTTTATTTGGCGGACCGGAAAAAAGCTTTACCCAATAAGAAATCATTCTACCATAAACCATGTACGATGGCGTGGAAATTTTCAAATTAAATACATACTTTAAAAACTTTAGATGCAAACGTTCAATAATATCAAGATTTTCATATCCCCATATTTCAGAACCATATAGTAAGACCGGTACTACAACTCTATCAAAAAGATCAAATTGACAGTCAACTGTTAACTTAAATTGTCTAATTTTTCTTAGAAAGCCATACATCGCTTTTTGTGCTTGATCATATGTTTTTTTGTTTTACAGAAGGAACCTGTGCGTGAAAAACATCGCCTAAATATTTAAATTCTCTAACATTTTCAATAACTAAGTTATCGTAATGAAATTTTCTTTTTAACAAAGGACCCTTTGAAAATACAAGAATCTTCGTCTTTTCAACATTCACTTTTAACTTCCATTGTAAACAATATGTGTGGAATACATTAATTGCATGTTGTAATTCGTCGGCTGATTCAGCCGTAATAACAATATCATCCGCATAAGAAAGAATCAACAATTTAAAATACATCAGTAATTCATTCTCCGTAGATCTTGAAATACTTTGCAAACCTGTAATATTCTCGTTCAGTAAAAAATCTTCATATTGAAAATAGGAATGGTGAAAGATTTTCTCCCTGCCTCACTCCTCCATTACAGCTAAAAAATTCTGTGGACATACAATTAATTTTTATCATAGATTTAACACCTTTGTACATGTTTTAGATATATTTAAAACACTTGCCGTTTTTTCCACTAATATGTAACTTGGTCCAAAGCCCATTTCGCCATACTGTATCAATTGCCTGTTTAAAGTCAACGAATGCGCAAAAAAGTTTCTTTTTTCTTTGCATTAAGATGTTTGATAAAATTTGTAAGGTAAGGATATGATCAAGTGTAGAATAACCTTTCCTAAAACCCACTTGATTTTCTTTAAGTAGATTGATTTCATTTGCGTACGCTTCCAATCTATTATTTAAAATACATGCAAAAACTTTTCCTAATCAACTAAGCAATGTAATGGGGCGGTAATTTTCAGGTTTTGTGGGGTCTCCTTTGTTTTTATATATGGGTTTAATTAAACCAATCAACCATTCTTCAGGAACGAATCCACTTTCGTATATGATGATAAAAAATTTCAAGTAGACTAAGTGTAGTTAATGTTGAGGAAATATGTTCATTCAGAATGTTGTCAACTCCAGGAAATTTACCGTTTTTCATTTTTGTCACAGCTTCTAGCATTTCATCTTCACGAATTATAGTATTTAATGTCTCGTCGGATATAGCAAAGATCTCATTTGGGATGGGTGGTGTATCGTTACCATAGGAATAATTTTCTTCATTATCGCTTTCGTTGATAATTTTAAGTAGTTGTACATATCATTAATATCAACAGAACATTTTTTTATCTTTATCAGAGGCATTTAAATTTTTCCAGTAGTCTTTCAAATTTGATGAACATAAATTTTTAAGTTTTTGGGATCAATCGTTTCTGTATTTCTGATCAGTAACCGAACTCTGCAGTTTCTTGTTGGCTTCTTTGACTGATTCCAGTTCATCTTTCACTTTATTATCGGCAACTTTCTGCATCTGTATGCACTGGTCTAGGCTCTTCTTGTTGTTGTTTATTACTGTTCTATTCGCCTCCGCTGTCTCCCTTACCGCATCAAACACCTTACCAAGCCCGCTCACATTAGATTCTAGATTTTGATATTCATTTTTCATCACTTTTACATCCTCATATAGCCTGTCTACATGCAACTTCACCGTGTCCAGGGACCCTCAAATCTCTCTCAAAGACACAATTTCCGCCTCAATTGCCGTCAATCTAGTTTCAAGTTTTTCATTTTTCTGTTCAATGTTGGTAAGTTTTATGTTCATTTCAGTCAAAAGAGAGTGTATCGATTTCAAGGTTATTTCACTCTCTGCATTGTTCTTGTTTTCACAAATTGCTTCATTACCATATATATTAAAATAACGGAGTGACTTTCTACTAAAATCTTTGTAGTATCAGCTAACGTTTCAGACATTTTCAGTTTGTAAAAGAAACGATCCAAAAAGTATCGAAATTCTAGCCACTTCTTATTGACACCGTTATTTAAACTGTACTATGTACACTCAAAGGTGAGCTGAGTTCACGGGTGGACCGAACACATATACAAACAATGAAAGTTTCTAATATTGCAAAAGTACTGCCAAATTCTTGACAAAGTTAGTCGAATAATATCACTAAAATCACTTTAGATACATTGTACACAATATTCACTTACTCAATCTTCCTTAGAATAGTTTTTTTTCACGTTTTTTCACGGGAGCCCCATTAAACAGCTCTTACCTACTCGGTGACCTCTGACCAAATCCGGAGGGTATTGACTTTAAAAAAGGAAATGGTTTCGTTTTCCAACATTCTGTTAAGTTTCAACTTAGGAAAAACGGATATACACCTAGTGAATGTTTAAACAGGCTACAAAGAAACAATTTGCATTATAGAGATATGGAAAATGCACAGTTCATGTCGATTCGTAGTCATTGTGTTCAAAGTCTTTCACGTCGAAAAGTGGCATGCACGATCATGTGTGATATATATTGAACTCCTTAAAGCAAATTATACTGTTATAACCCAAAGAGGATGTTTCACAATGTATAGATCCATTTACAATATCATACATTGAAATTAGCCGTTTTTGACATTGTTAAGTCAGATAAACAAGACGGGTTAAAGGTTTTATACTTAACTCCAGGGAATCTCATCAAAATAAGTCTATGAGGTCGAAAAGAGTGGGTATTGAGAAACGATGACATTGTCAGATGTCATAAAACTAAACGGTGATAATATAATGTCTTTTTTTGTTTTATGATAATTTGGCAAATCATTGATGTTTCAAGCTAAAATATTCAGCTCTTCTTTAGCTTTTGTTGGTTTGTGTTCCTTTTAAATTTTGTAAGCACAGACTACATATCAAAGTATAGATTCTATTGTAACAGTCCAGCCAACTTTTTGATAACTCTTAGTGTGTATGTGAGCCATGATTTTAGTAAAATTATTTTTTTCTATTCCAATTCAGACCAAAGAGACGCAGGATCAGATCAAGTATGTAAGCTTCTGATTCTCAAATATTAAAAAATTAGTTATACAGAACGTTTAACTATCAAATAGAATACTGTGAAATCATAAATGTTCTTTGGGGACTAGTGTTCATGAATTTTGTGAGATACCCTTTTCCATGAATTTAAATCACACAAACAATTATTTTGTAAAGATATTTATTCATTAAATCTTCTGAACATACAAGTTACCTACGAAATTGCGTCCCCACAAGCCCCCCAAAAATTTGCTTGTCCACGAACGAATTTTAAATGAATTCACGGTAGCCAATAGAGCATTTTGTTGTTCATATAATTTAAGTATTCGCTGTTTAAAATTTTACTATTTGTTAAAGTTTTTACGAAGAGTATTTTTTAAAGTAATGCAATCATCAATATACACATAATAATCACGTTTTCAATGTTTCATTTATTAAAAAGCTGTTGTATTTTCTGACTTAAAGTAAAAAGGTTTTTTTTCCTTTATTGAAAAAATAGCGTTCATTGGAGGACATCGTAAATAAAAGGTTTGACAGAATTGAAATGAGTCTCATGCAAGAATTTCAGAGATCAGAAGAAAGATACCAATTGGTGGCAACAGAATTGCATGTTGCTTTACAAAAAATCAAGGATCTAGAGAAAAAAACGACTGAAAACGAAACTGAAATCAACCGATTGTTGACCCTTCTAGATTCTAGAGACAGGGAATTAAACGATAGAGACAGAGAGCTGGAAAGGAAGGATGCTGAGAAAAGGGAACTTGAAAGACAATTAGATCAACTTAGAAGAGAAAAGGAGCGATTAGAGAGAGAAAAAGAAGCTGAACAAAGAAAATGGTCTGAACTTCAACGGAAGCACGAAAAAATAGAGAATGATGTGAACTACTTAAAGGCTGAAATGGAGAAAAATCGGAAGAAAAATGAAAAATGAAATATTATCTATATCATTTAAATTATATAAATAAACTTTCTAATATTTTGTATGCTTTAATATGCACTCTAACCCCAGAGAAGAGTACTTTTAATGCACAAAAGACATTTTTATTTATACAAATGCATTAGTCTTTCCATTACACCAAATGAAAGATGTTTTAATATTTAAACGGACTTGCTTATCCATGAAATATATGGAGATAACGAACAGTATTCAAGCTCAAAATCCATTCAAACAACACAAATCAGGAGCAGAGCAAACACGGACCTCTAAAAATCAGAAGTGGGATCCTGTGCCATTGAAGAGTTAGCATTCCCTGCCAATGCTGCAGAATTAGAATTAAAGCCAACGAAACCAACAGATTTTCAGTTGTACGTCGATCCAAGTAATCATTATTTTAGATTTTCGTAAAGTGTTATTCCGTCTTTCATAATTTGTTTTCTGTCACATTAAATTTCACTCGTAATTTTCTACTAAATGCAGAGAATACGAGAAGAATATCTAAAGAACTAAAGCATTTTTCACACATTATTAATGGAGCCCAATCCTTATTCTAGAACTTCTTACCCTTAGGCCATGAATTTTAAATTTCGGTCGAGGGTCTCTTGTGTCTGTAAATAGAGCCCCACCATAGGACTAGAACTCCTAAGTCCTGGGACATGAATTTCATAATTTTTATAATGAATATAATACTCAAGAGAAGTTGAAAATTACCAAAAATTACCCGCTGATGGACGACGACGGACAACAACAAATAGCAAATAGCTTACCTGATTGACTCAGTTGACCAAAATGAATGTGGGAAAAATTGATTGGTCATGTGTTTTCATAGCAAAGGTGGCCGTTCTGAAATTTAAAATGTTGGTTATACAAGAAAATTGTCCATAGCATCTGCAAGAACATTTGTGGACAAAGTTATATATAGGTGGGACAGTTTCGACGTTCCGGGTGATGTAAGAAATCAAAGTGAATTTTAAAAACTTCTATATTTTAAAGCCGCTTGGTCCGATTCTAATCGCTAAAATATATATTCGTTTTTCTTCTTGAAAAATAATTGTCCGTAAATTGTTTAAACTTTTGTCAAATTATATCCCCAAAGTCTTTTTCTTTTAAAAGATATCAAAATTCAAAAGTTAAAAAAATAATTTTTGTTAGGTCACACAAAAAATAATCCTATGTTGATATCGCGTGAAATCACCTTCGAAAAATTAAATTTATCGCTTACATGTATATCTCATGAAGAACAAACCCGAGCATTTTTTTCACAACAAAGTACATATTATATATACCTGTACACGGACAATATTTAAACTTCTTTAAAAAAATCTTTTAAAATATCCGATTTTCCTTTATTCTTTAAATATGCATATTAATATAAAAATTACTATGGATTATATTTAATTAATTTCTTGATTTTTGAAAGATGTATTTTGACTAAGGCTTCTACTAATGGAAAAGAAATACTCGGATTTGAATTATCTTCATTATAAGATATAACCGATAAATTTATTTTTTTCAAAATTGACTTCACAACAGATCTTAACTTCCCGTCAGGAACTACTGTTTGTTAATAAGGTTTTTGATCTGCGTTTTCCATGTGAGGATTATTGTAATAAACTATTAAATCAATCTTATAATTTATTTTTTTTATTATCTATGTAATGACGTACTTTTATTGTGTAAGATAATATGTGCCTGTTTTGGATTATGCGGCTTTAACTATGTAAGCCTACCAGTGATATATTTGATGTCATACTATTATTAGACACGGGAACAAAATCAATTACACTCCCTAAAACATGCTTACGCAGTCTGACCTTGAATTGTTTTTTTTCATATCCGTTTTCATTTTCATTCATAAACAAGGTGGATGATAACCATCAATGTCTTTTAATGGAGACTAGACTTGAAAAAAAAAATATAGACCATTGCAGACAAAAAGGTTGGTCATTATTTTTTTTTTCATTTTATTTAGTAAATGATATTTCTTGCAAGCATCTACAGAACGTGTGCAAGGCGATTATGCATTTAGTTGAGTGCAATTTAAAAAAGTCACACCACGACCCAAATGTGTTAACTAATCTATTTTTAAAGATAACGCATAGGAAATATTTAGTGCAAAGATGAATTAAATCTTTCTTTGTGGGTCAAAAATGACTTTACAAATAACGTTTTGTTTAATAAATTAATGTAATGTACCGTTTTTGATATTGGCTATAATTAGTTAATTACATTTAACTAGTGAATGAAGGGGAAGGGCAGTTCACAAAGCAACTTTTAAAAATAAATGATGATGTTTTATTTAAATCAATTTGGAAACATTTCATCTTGTACTATACAAAGACGATTCTACATTTTACATCACTTTATTTGAGAAAGGATTCATAAATTATTAACGTTTGTAACAAATTGATAAGGTGTTATTTATCAAGATATGAAACACATATATAAAAGTATCAAACAATTGTTTAAATCTATTTCTTGCGACTGGAACATATTTATTATCCCAATGCTGGAATTATTTGAAACATTTTTTTTATTATTTATTCATCTATTTATTATCAAAGTTTTCTTAATCTTATGGACTCTGTGAATTACTTTATAGCTTGTCTTGAATAGAGAAGCTTTGGTGGAATCAAAAGTCTGATGGAGAACATTTTGTCTATTATCAAATAACTCCTGCAAAACCAAGCGGAACCTTACCATGTAGCAATAACAATAGAGATCCAAAATAGTAAGTCACTATTTCCTATCTACTTTGATTCAAAATTAAATTTAGGACTATTACTTTACTTTTTTCTTACCTTCAATCAATTTCTTCCAATAGATAAGGGCGATGGAGACGAATATTTGTGTAAATCCTATGAATGGAATGTTGGAACTGATGAACTGCTGAGTCATACGGTAAAGGAGGGAACATCAGGGAAACGGCTAGGAATATCAACGTCAAGAGAAGAATATAATCCAGATATTTCAGAAGAGTCTCCAATAACTCACCAACTACCCCAGATTTCAGTAATTATATATAGCTCTTTTCGAAAATAATGTTAATTTAATTGTTTATGAAGCTGTATCGATGAGTATCAATTTTGTGCACATTGATCAATATTACTACTGTACATTTGACATAATTGTATTCAAAACTACTAGTGAGCTCCTTCTTTGCATAACCTCATACGAGGAACATCTTTAGGATTTGATGAACAGAATTCGGTAGAAAACTTAATTTTAATATGCTTTTCTTACATTAAAGGTAGCGACTGATTTCACAGTAAATAATTCTTGCACAAAAGAACAATTTAGAAATATTCAATCAACATAACTCATTGGCGTCGGAAGCAAATTGAAAGTGGGGGGGCTAAGTTTTTAAAAAAAATTATACCTTCAATATAAAACCTGATAAGCAAAAAAAAAAAAAGGGGGGGGGGGGGAATGTCCATTTCCCAAAAATTAAAAACCTATTTCGTGGGGGGGGGGGGGGGGGGGGGGTAGTGGTTAGGTTCGAACTTCAGTACCAAAATTTCTTCCAAACACCACCACTTTCCCCATTTTTAACCTATACTGCGACGTGTCTGTGGAAAGTGGGGGGGGGGGCTAAACCTATGAAACAATGTTTAATGTCTATACCAAGTATATATTTGGAAAAAGTGGGGGGGCTAAGCCCCCCTAGCCCCCCCCCCCCCCCCCCCCCCCCGGTTCCGACGCCTATGTAACTAGAACTTTAATTTGCAACGGAATCAAGAAAATTGAAGATAGCAGATCTTCAATCAAGGCAGGAAAAGAAAGAAAAAGATTGCCTTCTGATATTCGCAAAGTTGCCAATAAATGTCAACATACATTTGGTAAGATATGATTTTTTAAATGTTGAAATAAATCATTTCCTGCTTAACATTTAAAAAGTAGTATTTAATATTTTGTCTTTTATTGACAAATTAAGTGTGAAAGGCATTTTGATGAAGTGGAACAATATTCGGGATATAGAACAAAAGAGGTGTTCTGGCAGATTATAAGAATTTGGATGGAGAACTCAGAGTCCCAACACATGACGGTGTCTAATTTATTGACAGTAGATCTTAAAGGTTTAGTATCAACCTCCTTCCCCGCAGTCACGTATTTTAACGCATATACCATTTCCTATTTCTTACGCAGTATAACGCATACATCATTTCCCCGCAATCACGCATTTTTAAGCACTCTAAAAATTCATTTAATCTTCAATGTATTGCTAAATTATTTCTATTTCATACTTGCTTAAATCTCATAAAATTAGAAAATTTATTTTCTTATTAAAATATTACGTCATAATATTATTTACGCTAAACTTTAGAGAAACTTGTATGACGCTATAAAGTGCTTGCGGGGAAATGCCACTTTGCCTTGCAAACATTACTCACGTCACTTATCTGAGTTCAGAATCTACGAAAAATATTGCTCATTTCTAAAGAAAAAAGATTTTTTGTGTTATCTATCCAAGTCATCGGTGTTGCTATGAATTAATGTGACTGCTCCGTGTCGCCCGATACTCATATCGGCCGATCATGTTCTTTCAGCCCAACAAGACCCGAAAAATTTAGTCGCCCGACCATCGGCTTAAATGTGACCTAGGCATTAGTCACATTTCCCGGCCGGTAGCCGTAGAGAGGTGGTAATCCCTGGTGTGAGTGATGCCCAAAATCGGTCCACAATGGCCTAGTACATGTAGTTCTTAAAGTATGAGTCACATTATCCAGTGATGGTGTATACATGTACGATGGGCAATTAATGCGTTTTTGATAGGAAACACTAGAACCCCCAACTCCTGGGACATGAAATTCATAAATACACTGTAAAAAATGCGCTTAGAAAATAAACACTTCCATTACGTGTTTTGACCTAAACATGTATAAGATTGTGTTTAACGGCTAAACACTTAGGTCTAAATGTGTGTTAGATTGTGTTTAACGGCTAAACACTTATGTCTAAACGTGTGTTATATCTAAATGATGTTAAGATTTAACACATGTTTAGATATAAGTGTTTAGAATTTGAACACTTTTCTGTGAAGTACAGAATTATCTTCCCGGAAATGACGCATATATATTCGAATGATAAATAGAGCGGTTATCGAAACAAAGGAAATCCCAATGTTAGCTAAAGAAGATGGATTAAAGGAAGTGAATGCTAATCAAAGTGATAACCATGAAGAGATTGTGAAATGCATTTAAACTGCAACATTACTGCGATAAAAGGTTTGTTATCTATTATTTTTATTTTACATAAATTGACCAAGATGGGCTAAGTAAATAGACATGCGTTTGCACATGTAGTTGTAGATCAAGATTACCTTTGGTTATATATTGCATTCCTGAAATCTAGAAAGGAGTACATTATATATTAGAATATCAATAATATCTATAACAGTATCAATACTAAATAGTGGTTATATAGACGAGGTTCAATGAAAGTAAAACAATAATAGCTATCAAACATGTAAACAAAAAAGGTAATACAAATCCAGCCAGTGAGGAGCATATTTTGATAAATTTTGAATTTCTTTCTTACAGAATATGGTCCACATCGAACTTGAAAGCAGAAATACACGTATCAGAGAAACTGACTCTCCATGTCCACACTTCTTACTTTCTAGGGGAAACTGAGTTTTGTGAAGTCTGCTGTTCGTTATAGCTTTGAACAACCTAAAATATTCTCAAATAATAACAAGTGGATTACCTACTGACGGTCACAGATGAAAACAAATTATGCGTGTGTTGCTCAGTGAAAAATTGCTGGAAGTTAAACTTGATACAGACACGAGGAATAACTGCTTGCTAATCTGGTTAGAATTAAAACCAGCGTGTAAAAATATAATGTATATTTAATTTAAAATTCTTTATAAAAAATCCATGCTTGAATGTTCATTGAATAAAATTTAAAATGTAAACAATTGTTATTTTTTCAGTTTTCTTGCAGGAAGACAACGAAAACATCCAAGTGTTTAATTTGTAAACATGTATCATAACATGTTTTGTAAAGTGTTTAAAGTCTAAACATGTAAGTGTTTTGGCTCTAAACATTTTCCATTACACGTAATGAAATTCAATGTGTTTAGAATTTCAACGCATCCCAAAAAGTGTGACAAGAAAGTGCTTAGGAAAGTGTCTATCATCTAAACACATTTTTTACAGTGTATTCTTTGTAGTGGGTTCAAAGCTCATTATAATCGTGGTAAATGTTTGATTTACAAGAGCAAATAGAAGATTTTAAATTTTGGTCTCACTCCTCTGGCACTAGGGGGAAGGGCTATAAATTTCTTCTTTTTTCCATTTGCCTAAAGTTGCTACATACTTATTTTGATTGAAATTGGTTTAAAGTGGTTTTAGAAAAGTTGAAAATGACCAAAATTAAGTAACCTACTGATGGACGTCGAAAGACAAATTAAAACGCAATGTATCAACTGGTTGACTCAGTTGACCAAACTGAAATTGGCAAAAAACTTTATGGGTCATATGTGTATTCTTGGCGACAGTGGCCATTCTAAAATTTAAAATGTCGATTATACATGTACAGCCAGTGTTGGTAATTATTATTTCTGTAAAGTTTGAATAGAATTATCTAAACCATGGCCATAAAATAAACACGTGAAAAAACCCTCAAACATGCTTACGCAATATGACCTTGCTGAGTTATATTTTATTCACATCCGTTTCACTTTTTTTCATTCATAAACAACGTGGACTGGTTGATCCCGTCACTGACTTTTAATGGCGATTTTACTTGAAGAGCTTAAGACCAATGCAGACAAAAAGGTTGGTCATTTATTTTATTTGAGTTTTCTTTATTTTTCTTGCAAGCATAAACAGAATATGTGCAAGGTGATTATGCATTTAGTTGAAAGCAATTTTAAAGAGACACACCATGCATGACCCAAATGTGTTAATCTATTTTTAAAGCCAACGCATAGGAAATATTTAGTGCAAAGCTGAATGAAATCTGTTTGTGGGTCAAACATGGAAATTTACAACTAACGTTTTGTTCAATAAATAAATGTAATGTACCGTATTTGATAGTTAAATGAAGGGGAAGGGCATTTCATTCATCGGGTGGGTCGACGTTTACAAAAGTTACAAACTTTTAAAAATAAATTATGATGTTTTATTTTCTTAAAACATGAAATCAATTTGGAAATATTTCATCGTAAGACGATTATACATTTCATATCACTTTATTTGTGAAAGGATTCTTCAAATATTAACATTTTTTATAAAATGATATTTAGCAAGACATGAAACACATATATAAAAGTAAGAATCAAACATTAGTATAAATCTATTTCCTGCGAGTGGAAATATTTATGACTCCAATGCTGGAATTATTATAAATCCTTTTTATTTCTTTATTTATCTATTCATTTTATTATCATAAGTATTCTGAATCTTATGAACTCCGTGAAATACTTTATAACTTGTCTTGAATAGAGAAGCTAAGGTGGTTTAAAAGAGTCTGATGGAGAACATTTTATCAACCATCAAAGAACTCCTGCAGAACCAAGCAGAACCTTACCATATAGCGATAACAATCCAGATCCAAAACAGTAAGTCACTATTTTTTACTACTTTGATTTAAAATTAAATTTATTATTATTACTGTACTTTAATCCTACCTTCAATCAAATTCTTCAACAGAGAAGGGCGATGGGGACGAATGTATGTGTAAAACCTATGAATGGAATGTTGGAACTGATGAACTGCTGGGTCATACGGTAAAGGAGAATACAACAGAAAAACGGCAGCCATTATCATCAATATCAAGAGAGGAACATAACCCAGTTATTACTACAAGCCTTTCAGAGGAAGAGTCCCCTATAACTTACCAACTACACCAGATTTCAGTCGTAAGCTCCTTGTTTGAGGAACATCTTGGGGATGTCATGATCATCACAATTTCGGTAAAAAGATACATTTTGATAATAAATTTTAATTTTTTTACTTAATTTAAGGAAACGACTGATGTCACAGTTAATAATTCTCGCACAGAAGAACAATTTAGAAGTATTCAAAGTGGTTTTATAAAGCCTAATGAACTTTGCAACGGAATCAAGAAAATTGAGGATAGCAGATCTTCAATCAAGGCAGAAAAAGAAAGAAAAAGATTGCCTTCCGATATTCGCAAAGTTGCCAATAAATATCAACATGCATTTGGTAAATGATTTTTTTTTTAAATCCTTATTGAAATTACCCGGTGATTCATTTTCTGCTCAAAGGGACATGGACACAGTTTCAACTAAATTTTTAAAATCATTTTTAATGTTTACATTTCCTAATGAAGGCATCATCTAATGATCAGCAAAAAATTTGAACATCATTTGTTGAGTAATAAACGAGATACGAAACTTCAAGTTCCTCATAATGTAAACAAGGCTTATGCCTTGTTTTTGTTTACATATAGAAAATATCATATTTATAACAAAATGAAATTCAGCAAATCACAAGAAACTTTCGAATCGTATTTAGAACTAACTTCTTCATTGAAATTAATGTATCTGCTTTGAACGTCATCAGTACATTAACCTATGTATACAAAAACATGACATTGGCCCTGTTTACATATCAAAGGTTTGGAGCTCTAAGGTCTTGTATCTCGACAACTGACGTTAAAATTTTTGATGATCATTAGAGAGACCTTAGTTAAATATTGGTAAAAATAAATTTGAAATTTTTTAGCTGAAACTGTCTATGTCCCTTTAACATGTAATACGTTGTATAATAAATTTTGTCTATATTGACAAATTAAATGTACAATGAAAGAAATGGATAAAGAAATTGTTATTTTTAAATTTTGAATGGTATTTGCAGTATTTTTTTTTTTCATTCCAGCATATGCGTTTATTCGTCAGTTTGGACGCCTCCTTCAGTTGGATGAAAGACATTTAGATGAAGTGGAACAATATTCGGGATATGGAACAAAAGAGGTGTTTTGGCAGATTATTAGAATATGGATGGAGAACTCGGAATCCCAACACATGACGGTGTCTAATTTGTTGACAGCCCTGTCGGAATGTGGAGTAGATCTTAAAGGTTTATTATGAATTGCTACTCTCCTGGTGATGTAAATGCATAATCATTAAAAAAAATTAAGTTTACTCATTTCAAAGAAAAAATGTGAAGATTTCTCACAGTAATCAGCTTCAGAAGTCCATTGGAACAATATAAATTGGGAGCAGAGCAAGCAAACACCTCTAAACACTTCAGAGGTGGGATCAGGTGCTATCGGGGAGCGAGCATTCGTATCGACTGCATACCCGCCGTGTGCTCCTGTCATTATTGTGTAAATTAAAATCGGGTTGAAAAAATGGCTCAACAATTTAAATGAAAAACATAAGCCAACATTTTACATAGCAATTTGTGAAATAATGTCATTGCAACGGAAAAATAATCTGTGAAAAAATAAATTTATATAATCATATTCCTGTATTTCATCAGATTTTTTTTGTTTGTTTTACTAAAATCTCCAGATTTGTTTAAAAACGCTGAATCAATTTTAAATATTTTCATATAACTTTATATTTAAAAACAAGTAAATTATATTTATGTATTATTGCTATCAAAAAAAAGGGCATATTGCTTTGCTGATTAAAAAAGCCATCATGTGTAAACATAAATTTAAGTTTCCGTATTTTCTTCATAACTGTTGCACATATAAAATACAAATTTGTTAACACATATATCACATGAATATCTAGGTCAAGTTCTGTTTTGGGTATGATTGCACCATTTTTGAAAACAATTAGTGAAATCCCCTTGGACATGGAAAATTTTCAATTATTTGCAGTTTCTGATTTTTTTTTTGCACATAAAAATCAAATTTGGTATACAGATATATCACATGAATATCTAGGTCAAATTATGTTTAGGGTACCACCATTTTTGACAATGCCCCTTGGACTTGGAAAAACTTCAATTATTTCCCCTTGGACTTGGAAAAATTTCAATTATTTGCAGTTTCTGCTCATTTTCTTTGCAACCGTTGCACATATTGAAATCAAATTTGGTATACATATATATCACATGAATACCTAGGCCAAGTTCTGTTTTGGGTATTTTGCCATTTTTGATAATGCTCCTTAACTTACAAAAAAATTCCAATTTGGGGGGAGGGGGGCATAAGTGTTTTACAAACATCTCTTGTTTTATAGTGTGTTTATTCCTACTCCATGGCACTTGATCCCTTCTCTGATTTGTTTTTAGGTCTATGTTTGCTCTGCTCCTATTTTGTATAGTTTTATGGACTTTTGATCTTGAATTCTGTTCGTTATCCCTATTTGCATAACACACTCCACGATGTTGCAGGTAAACAGATGTCGAGAACTGACAGAACAATTTTGAGAAGTAAGATGGCGATTTTATTAGAGTCGGTTAATCCTGTGGAGGCCCTCGTCCCATACCTGTGCTCGCGCCATCTACTTTGTGAGGTCACGAGGGCTTACGTCACTGCCCCGAAAACATCAGATTTGAAGATTAACCGATTAGTTGATATTCTTATCACTAAAGAAAACGGTCTTACAGATTTCTGTTCAGTTCTTCGTGATGGTGGTTATGACTACATTGCTCAAGACATTGAAGGTAAGAGTAGCTATGTCATGAAAAATACAACAAAATGTTCTTGCTTTCATGTCCCCATTAACACATTAAAAGTTAGTTATACGTTTGTGAGCCGAAAAAAAGATCACATTTTTATTCTTGTCCCGTCGGTTGAATTTAAACATTGAAATAAAAATAAATGAAACAGGGCAAAAAAGTTGATATTTTTTTTAGCTAATTCATACAACTATACTGTTAAGAATTAAAAGAAAAGTTTTCAAGTATACTTTAAACTGTCGTAGATTTTAAACACGTAATAATGTGTTTGAAAAAGTTCACTGTTCTACTAGAGAAAAAAAGACTGAACAGATAAAAAGAAAGTTGACTCTTAACGTGAAAGTGTGTCACAAATGAAAGTTTTTCTTGAAGAATGGCTTGTTCAAATCAATACTAAGCATTAAGGTACCAGATAAATATTTGTAAATTATTACAATAAAAAAAAACTATATAAATGATGTTTTATATGCCATCTGTATAAGTCACAGGCGGTATGTATATGAAAGAAATATTTTCTGCCAACATTCAGATGTATATAATTTTCACAAAAATTGAAAATGAAAAGAAAAGTTTCCCTACTTAAGGTAAGTCACTCCTGAAATTTGTTATATCAAGGATTTATTGAGAAGTATATTTTGGATAAGTACTCATAAAGTGTAACTCAAAATCGCAAAGAAAATAGGAGGTCAGTGTGCATCCTACTGATCTACGGTACATTTAAGTTGACCTTTTTGCACTTAAATTTAATCTCTTTGGTTAATTACTTTAACCCTTATAATATTTGATTAGATGTAAGCATGGCAATAAATATAATCTTATTTTACGTAAAAAAGTTTGAATAATATTTATCATTAAACAAATCTTGCAAATTAATGCGCGTAAATTATTGTGTGACCTTTTTGCACTAAAAAATAACTTATTGGGGGTATTAAAAAACTAAATAGGCTATAAAAAAATTTCTTATATCAAACTTTTTACGACTTGAGTGCTGATAAGTCACAAGTATCGAGTACTTTAAAATAATGAAAGAAAAGGGTGGGGTCAGTGATGTTAATTTTGAAATATTTGTCAAAATATGTGTTTTTCAGGCAAAAAATGGTGTAGATTTGACCTTGACTTGTTCAATATATTTTCATTTTTTGGAAAAGTTTGTTGAGGGAAGGTGTAAAACTTAGTCTAAAACTATAAATTAAGACCTATATTAAATATATTTAGCAATATCAAAACGGAAAATATTCTCCGAGTAAAAGTATGTGAGGCTAAATTTCCATTACATTAAATTTTATAAATGTGCAGATTTGCAGAATTTTCTGCTAAATATCCTTCCACCAAAAGAAATAGTCCCTCATAAATCTTGCTTCTTTGTAGATTTTTGAGCAGTTTTTTCATGGAATGTTAAAAAAATTACATTGTTGAATTTAAATATGTTATAAAAATTGAATTTAAATAAGTAGTTTTGAAGTAAAAACTTCTGCGTGAACTTTTCTAAAAAGCTGAGGAGTGACTTACCTTAAACTGAGAATCAATATTTCACCTCCGATTCTAATATGCATTTTGCTTTAATATATTAAATGTCTTTAATGTGCATTATCGTTATACTTCGAAAGAAAAGGTTTACTCCGTTCTGATCAATTCAATTTGCAAATATGGAAAAGCGTTACCTTTTCTAACGTGTCTTGAATTTCTTAGCAGGTGCATATTTTTAAGTTTTGGGACTGAAGCATTGAAATCCTTTCTTATACTATGTAGCCCCGTGGGGATCCGGGTTAGAATAGGTCCTCAGTACCCCCTTGCTTGTCGTAAAAGGCGACTAAATGGGGCGGTCCTTCGGATGAGACCGTATAAATCGAGGCCCCGTGTCACAACAGGTGTGGCACGATAAAGATCCCTCCCTGCTCAAAGGCCGTAAGTGCCGAGCAAAGGCCTAAATTTGCAGCCCTTCACCGGCAATGGTGACGTCTCCATATCAGTGAAATATTCTGGAGAGGGACGTTAAACAATATACAATCAATCAATCAAGCATATACTAAGTATCTAATTTTATGGTAAACTTTTAGTACATATAAGACCTAATATACAACATTTGTTTTCTAAGTGGAGAGATCTGCGGCGAGTGTAGGAATTGCCTCCCGTTTGTCATCTCTGTCGAGCTCAACATCAAATTCTTTCCCGTCTCTGCGAGAATGCATGTCTGATTCCAACCCGCACCTGCGTCGATTTGCTGAAGATTTGTTACAGAAACAAAGCAGCTTACCGTCCGTATTCCGTAAAGGAGGATCCGACACATCTCTGTCTACAACGGCAAAAGTAGCAGCGGTGTCTCCTAGCATCCAAAGAAAAATGAAGCCGGAAACCAGGGACATGTCCATCAAACCTGACTGTGTTCCAGAGAAATCAGAAGATTTAGATAATATCACCGACAATAAAAAGATTTCTCTTGTTTCCAAAGGACCTCAACAGGAGTGTTCATGCAATCTCAAGATCGGTCAGAAAGATCTGTCTAAACAGAAAACACACGGTTGCTGTGTCCTAATGTAATACTTTAAATGGGAAAGTTGTTATTTACTAGATTGTTGTTAAACCATTTTGTTTGGAAAAGGACAAGTGTTGGTACATCTTGAAGTGTGTTACATTCGGTTGCTAGTACTTTTCAAAGAAGGTGAAATTGCATAGTTTATAAAAGTGTGTAGAATTGTTTTTATCTAAAATGATGCTCAAGCAGATACAAGCATTAAATACATTTCAACCATTCATAAATTCATTACTGTATGATAAATATTTCCATTGTTCTATTAAAGAATTTTTGACGGGTGGTTAAAACAAACGGTAGAGAGAAAAAACATCAATTTTAACATGAATTAAAAATCGGATAAGCACTTACAATTTATGTACTTGTAATGTTTTTTTCCAATTTTTTTTCAGTGCGCTTTTATTTAAAAGTGTAAGTAATATGAAACAGTATTTAAAAATACGGCGATTATATATATATATAAAACCCCATTTGAAAAACATTTTAGAGATAAATGTTTACATTTTGTTTTATACCTACTACTTGGGTTTTCCATTTTTCAAAGTTTTTTTTTAATTTTTCAGAATGAGTTTTTAAAAAAAGATCATTATTTCTTGGCAGCTGCTTCTTGCTATATTTTTAAGTCTGCATAATTCAAGGAAATCAGACAAGCTGAACAGTCAAGAAAGGATCGAGTCAGCTATTATATACTAGACGACTAAATTTGTGAGAGGCAAATTATTGTGATGTACGAAAGTAGAAAAAGGTCGTATAAAAGGTTTTTTTTGTTGATTTCTTTTGCAAAAGATCAGAATTTTATAGAACTTAATCAGTTGATCCGTGAATTTCAAATATGATTCTGATTGTTCTTTGTAACAAGAAAAAGGTTGTTACTAACAAACTAAATACACGTAAAGATAAAAATCATTAAGATGTCCATGAATAAAATAAGCCTTTTTTTGAAAAACAAAGAATAGCTTTTTGAATTGAAAGGTATTTAATTTTTTTTTATATCAGAATGGACATAGTACTATTACATTTGTAAAATTTATATAAATATTACAATTTTATTTCTTTTTACCTTTCATTCTGTTTATACTTCTTAATTCTTTATTTCCTGTATTTTCTTTTTTGATTTAGGCTTCTTAGTTTATATCAATTTTTTGTGTTTTAAATGAAAATTTTATGTTCATTGTTTTAAGACTGTGCAGGGATCTGTTGAGAACGTACTTCCATGAACAAAAATTTCTTGTTGTTTGAAATACATTTTATAAGTTTGAAGAGGCATTATTGGAAATACATTTGTAAAAATTTTGTAATGATTTTTTTATCTCTATTATATTTTAAATTGATTATTGCAGGGTAGTGTTGTGTTTTGTCATACTTTTAAGTTTGTTACTCCGTTAGTTGCTATAAATATATGATACATAAGGGGCTTCTCTTATAGTAAATAACGATAGTAACATCGTAGTGGCTATATTGTTGATTAAGTAACTTTACTTTATTGTATTATAGTGATTCTCTCTTTTTAAAAAACACACATATCTTTGTGTGCACATTTTCTATAGTTTTATTTTTTTTTTCAAAGACAGTCGTTATTTTGTTTTGCTATCTAAGTCTGATGTGTAATCGTTATATAAGGAGTTTTAATTGTAACTATATATGATACAGTTCCAATTTTGTAAATAGTTTTAGAAAAAAAAGGTTTTAAGAAATGTTATGACAATCGAATATAAATTCATATGTAATGTTATAATGTATTGTGATATACAGATCAAATCAGAACAAAATCATTTAAGAGTCAAAGATTATTGTCAGGTTTGGATCAATTGGTTGTGAAAAGATTGCTTTACTTCTCTTTGAAGGTAAAGCAGAAAATCTGCTCAGTAAGATCACAGGGAATCTACTTCACATATAACCTAGTTGTAAAATTTTTTGCTTTTTATTTTTATTTCCATTTCAGTATACGTAAGTACGATTGATGGATATTTTTTACATTATCTTACAACTCTATTGTGTTCAATACTACATGTAGTATCTTGTCTAGTACAAATTTTAAGTCTTATTATTATTATTCTATTTTACATTTATGAATCCTATAGAACATAAATATAATATACTATAATGACCATGATAAACTTTCTCCTGTTTTAAGAGAAATTTCTACATGATAATATTTCAAAATTGGTATTCATTTCTGCATTTACACTTTGTCATTATATATATATATATTATAATATATAAGTATAGATAAGTTCGTTTTTTCATACGTTTATATACTGATTAGACAGTACTGTATACAAATTATTTAATAAATATCAATACATGACCGATTTATCGTTTTTCTTGATGAAGGATATGAAGATAACGGACAGTATTCAATATCAAAGTCCATAAAACAAAACAAAATAAGAGCAGAGCAAACACGGACCTCCGAAACATCAGAGGTAGTATCAGGTGCCAAGAAGGAGTAAGCATCCCCTGCTGACCAGTCACACCCGCCGTGTGCCACGATCGGGAAATAACAGGAAAATCCGTCGTCAATTCAATGTATAAATAATGGACTAACAATTAGTATGAAAAACGTCAGTCGGCATTTGACTCAATGATAAATTGTATTTGCTGACAAGGTCAATGTATCGACCATAGAACTTACGAAATTATGACTTCAAACGAGATTGCTGATATTCTTGCTTCGTCAACTTGCTTGTTAATAATTTATCTCGTTTTAAAAATTGTTCATACGTAGAGCATGTTCTTGCGTATCGAATCAACTGAAATATATACACTCCGTATACAGGTGATGAAGGTATATTGCTACATAAGTAAGGGAACTTGACGATAGAAAAGTTAAAGTCATCGCGTTTATCATGTACATGTAGCTTAGTTGTTAGATTACCAATTACGCCTTTTTTAAGTAAAACGTCCAAGTATGAAACATATGTGTCAGACTCTGTGGTATCTTTTATCTCAAGCAGATCAGAGCCGAAAAAAGGAAATGAATAGCCTTTTTTTCAAATTTGACCACGTTTTCCCATATTTTAAAAATATTTCAATGTAAAATTCTGCTCAAAATGGTTGAAAATGAAATGGCTGCTTTCAAGACAAGGGGTACTCGTAAAACACTGGAATTCTATAAAATTGTCTTTTTATTTCTTATTTCTGATCACCGTATTTCATTTCTGACTTTCTTTTTAATGTTGAACTGCTTGTATGACATTTCAAAAGCAGTTTTCATGGCGGATTTATTGTTTTTCTTAATCAAAGATCAGAGCCGAAAAGGGCAGTTTTCCATAGGAAATGTGGTCCTGAATTTGACCATGTTTTCCCTTTTTATGTTGAAACATTTCAATGTAAAATTCTGCTCAAAATGGTTAAAATGAAAATAGCTGTTTTTGAAAACATGGGGTACTCGTAAAAACACTGAGTTCCATGAAATTGTCTTTTTATTTCTTATTTTATAATCACCGTATTTCATTCCTGACTTTCTTTTTAATGTTGTTGCTTGCATGATATTTCAAAAGCAGCTTTTTTCTCTTTAACATCACAATGAATGAATACCCCCTGTAGTTTATGTTAATTTCGTTTCGAATATTGCTTTCCTATAAGAGTTGTCTTTCTTTAAATGCTATGTACTTCCTTTAATCAAAGTTAAGGAGATAAAGTGGGACGTTTTTGCCCTTATTTGATATATCTAATAGACACTTCTAAATGCTTTTTGCGACCAGAATTTCATTAATCTTATTAAGATATGCGTTAAATTTCTTGCTTTTTTTCTATGGGAAAAATTCAATTGAAATTTTCTTCTATGTGCTGTTGTGTCATCATGTATGTATAACACTTGTGTAAGCATCACCTGAAAATACGAGTTGCTACTAAAACGTACAACGATATTAATATTAGGACATAAGCGACTTGTTCAGTGCCGTATCTCTTTTCAAAGACTTTAACCATGATCCATCATAAAACTTTTCATTTCTTATTTTCAACCACCCTAGAAGTAAACTGAACAACATTTTACATGTGTACTTGGATTAAGTTGCAGTCTATGTGACTTTTATGTTGTAATAGGTAATACACCTCACTGCATACAGGCTCAAATTTGTTGTCACCGTGTGAGATTTCCTTCTCACTTTCTCTCTGCACGTGGCATTTTGCTGCTCTTTTCCATAAAAGTTGCTGCAAATTTTGGGTTTTTTCTCTTACCTTCAAACAGGATGTCACCAATCTCCCAGTGATACTTTGATCACAGATAACCGAATCATCGCGTCATTCAGAATCAGGGTCTCTTACTGCCGCGTGTGATCGTACACCCGGGATCCTGTATATTACCATAGCCAACATATATATAACATTTCACATCAAGGCTTGTTTGTCACGCAACGAGACTCGTAACATTAGCGTGTGCGAAAGACACCGGCATCGAATTATTAAGGGGCAATAACTCAAGCGAACTGTACAAGTTTTTGTAGATAGTCAGTTCGAGTTTCTCTTCAGTTCAGATTTCTTCAGATAAAAAATACAAACTATGTTTCATTTTTCTCTGATGTAATGTCGGTGTATGATTAATGTCGGGTGTAAGTGAAGGTGAAGTATTTTCGGATTAATTATTCTCTGAATGGGAACGTGCCAACAGTGATATAAACTCAACACCCGTATAAAATGGACCCATTTGCATATAAAAATTGAGGTCACGCATATTAGAAATTGAAAAATATATTTCAGTATTAAACGGGTTCTTAAATTTTTTTTGATACATTATGTTTCAAAAAGTTGGTCACTGAACAGGCTTTTAATCATTAAATAATTGATCTTAAAATACATATTTCAATTTATATATATAAAAAAAAAAAAGAAAATGAATTTATTTTCTATCATTTATCTAAGAATTCCGAAAATGAAAAACGTAAAACTGACATCAATTCTTCATTTCATGCTGACCGTTCACGGTAGCTCAATCGGTAGAGCGCTCGCTCCGTGATCGGGAGGTCGTGAGTCCGAATCTCGGCCGCGACTGACCTAAGTCGAT